TCACTCAGTCACACTGTGAGGACTCCACACATGATTGAAACATATAAAAATTTAGTTCTTATATTCACTGCATTATGTACGTTAATATACATCATTGCATAAGACGGAAAGTCTATGGTAATCTTAATGTCAACATATGCAACATCGGTCATACTTATAGGTGTGAGTGTGTACGGGATGCTTTTCAAATGCTGATGTGGATCGGACAATATGCGGGTTAGTACTTCTGATGTTTAACTACGATGTAACGTACGACTGACTGACGTGCTCTCCTATTGATGTGTCTGTCCCGTTACCAAGACAACAAATGATAAACAGTGCGAAGACGGTTTACGTTCGGGTTAAATATCATTTTAGGTTAGATGTCTCTATAAATTAACTTAAATTTGACATTATCGTAAACCATATGGGGCATTATGAACGTCGCATTTCTACTTCCAATATAAGTGAGTGAGGAGTACCTCAGATGATGCTGACTAGTCACTGGACATTCCAAGAATGCATTGTGGGATTGTGGACCTGTGCCGTGAGGCTGTTCAAATGCAAGTCGAGCTGAGGTATTTTTTTCTCTTGAAAAACTTAAACGTAATGTTTCGACCAGACGAGTTAGCCGACTGAAAGAACTGCAAACCAAGAAACGGGTGCTTACGGAGTTGGTTGTACTGTAGGAGACTGTACTTGGCAATGACAACCGACATTCATCTTGATTGAGAGGGGGCAGACGAGACTGGCGTGGTGACGTCAATAAAGTGTGACGTAATGCAAAAAAAGAGTACTTTATCGCCTGATAAGTACTGTCGGCGCCTTTGATCTTTTAGCGAAGCATATTAGGAAGTGATATATTGGACGCCTTTATTCTATGCAGCTACACTAACGGGGAAAATAATTCTGCTTCCCATAAAGTTAAAATTGTTTATTCGTAAATCAGATAAGGTTTCCGTGAGTACATAGTATATTCACGGGGACATCTCATCTTAACGGTCTTCCTTCACAACTTGCACCTGCACGCACGACACACTGGATATGTGCGTCTTTGTTGGGAACATGATACGCCTTGTTTTACGTGAACCGTATACAATGATTGTTTTGGTATCATATGCTTATAAAACACATTTGGTTAATGGTGAATAATGTTCACGCAACGTCTTGGTTTGCTGAAGATTTATTTCTGCGCCATGGTGGGATGATGTAAACAGGAACGGCAAAACACACATTATATATTTGTTATTTAAATTGACGTGGAGCATAGCACGACCACTAAAGCTGTCCAGAGGAACCTGTCTTCTGAAACACAGATTTTGTCTCCACCAAGCTTGGCGAGCCCAGTGATGACGTGGAAACTAAATTGGCAAATAGTTGGATGTTGACGATGTGGTGTTGAGTTGAGCACTGTTCCGATTGTAATCGGTCTCAACTTATGAATTGTCGTAGATGCAACAACATGATATGGTCGTCTTGTAGAGTTATAAGTGAAAGTAGTTGGGATACAAACTTTTTATGTTTGAGTTGAGCTGACATTGGTCACATTAATGTTACTGATGTGAGGTTAGTGTTCGTAATCTGTTGGACTGAGTTACTAAAGTTGAAGTGAAAGACTCGAAGTAGTTATGAGGTTTGGTAATCTGTTTCAACACAGAAAACACCGTATTTCGATGGAAGGGAGATAACCCTTACTGCCTATTCTCAAACGGGATTGTGTTTCGAACTTTAAGACAGTACCTTCTAAAGATATTAGAAATGGTGAAACTGAAGTAAACACAGATTACAACACATTGTTACATATTAAAGAAATAATGTGTCAGATTCCATTGAAAATGTGCCTGTTTCCCATTATCATGAAGAATGTAATGGGACTGCCTCTTTCTTTGTATTTGTGTCTGTTTTTATTTAAGTGTGTATATATCCAATTGTAAGAGAGCTCTCTGTTGTTTTTCATACCAACCCAGAAACCAGTCAAACTTGTTTCGAAACTACAAACTACATCTAAATGGTAAAAGACTGTTACAAGCCCCAGATGTGCACAAGTCAGTGTTGAGGCATCACAGCTTCAGGGCAGCCTCCATCAGAGCAACTTCTGCCAGTCAATGTCCAACTGCAGACTAAATTGCAGGGTCTTGTAGAAAACATACTGTTTTGTTATAAAATATCAAAACTCTTCAGCATTTGAGGGTGACATTTCAGTGATGATATTTTGAAGGTTTGAGACATTAGCAATGCAAATCAAAACCACAGATGGCAATAGAATAGTAACAGATTTCAAACCATGGCTCCTATAGCGTTCTGTGTGCATTAACTAATTGAAATGTTAGCTAAACAGCACATTGAAATGATGAAACTTCATTTTCCCCCATAATTTACCATTTTGACAATTTCTAAATAAAACACATCATCTGTGGGATTCGAACCGACAAAGTCTCCACTGGAGGCTAACAAATGTAGTCTTCAGCACTTGGAAACTGCTGCCTAGTGATACCAGGTCCTCATGTTCAAATGAATAAAACATGGTGGACATACAAGCATCATGTACGTCAGTTAAACATGTACTTACTCTAGGTTCAGATCGTTAGTCCTGATAGGGTTGGTGGAATTTATAGGTATGTCATTCAGTATGTCCAGGGACACATTATTGCTGAAACCTGAAACGTTTACCCTTGCAGTCATGGAATTATGGTCACCATCTTATTACAGATAAGTTTCACATAACTGTAAATTAACGTGATTCTAAATAACCCTGTAAGCACTATTAGAGTCACCTTAGCTAAGGTTTTTCATGGAATCTTATAGCTTCATTGACCAAATGGTTTCCCAACAGACTGACTGATGGACAAGATGAACAAGTGCCAACAGTCACCTTCAGTTAAGGGGAGTCAAATGTGCAACTCTTTTACCATTTTCACATGGAAAGTTATTATAATTGCAATTTAGTGACAGAAATAAAACAGGCTTCCCTGGAGGTTTGTTGTGTCATTTCATACAAGATGTCTTTTTGACCAGAGAGACAAACAATATGGGATGCTTTTTCAAACGTGTATATTTATAAGTCTCTTGGAAATGTTGATGCTACTAAATAAAAGAGATGAAAACTAAATAAATAATATCAAACATACATTATCAATTCAAATCTCAGCAGCAAACAAAGCATTGAGCAATGGTCATGCACTTCATGTAAACAATCCGTATAGAAAGCAGCAGAAGTTTTAAAATCGAATTCTAACTCCTCAAACCTGGGAATATCAAACTACAGGTTCAAGAAAATATATATAATCATAAATATATACCTGCCGCTAAACATATAAGCATATGTCTTATGTCTTACATGCCAACGTGACATTAACACTGCACCGCTATTATCAACAACAGGTCTAACATTGCCTTCACACTGCCAATTTCTATGAATGTCACATTACATCAGGCATTTTTAACCCTGTCCACTTGTACATGTCACAATACATCAGGCATTGTCTCCAACCCCTGTCCACCTCTATGCATGTCACAATACATCAGGCATTGTCTCCAACCCCTGTCCACCTCTATGCATGTCACAATACATCAGGCATTGTCTCCAACCCCTGTCCACCTCTATGCATGTCACAATACATCAGGCATTGTCTCCAACCCCTGTCCACCTCTATGCATGTCACAATACATCAGGCATTGTCTCCAACCCCTGTCCACCTCTATGCATGTCACAATACATCAGGCATTGTCTCCAACCCCCTGTCCACCTCTATGCATGTCACAATACATCAGGCATTGTCTCCAACCCTGTCCACCTCTATGCATGTCACAATACATCAGGCATTGTCTCCAACCCCTGTCCACCTCTATGCATGTCACAATACATCAGGCATTGTCTCCAACCCCTGTCCACCTCTATGCATGTCACAATACATCAGGCATTGTCTCCAACCCTGTCCACCTCTATGCATGTCACAATACATCAGGCATTGTCTCCAACCCCTGTCCACCTCTATGCATGTCACAATACATCAGGCATTGTCTCCAACCCTGTCCACCTCTATGCATGTCGCAAATACATCAGGCATTGTCTCCAACCCCTGTCAACCTCTATGCATGTCACAATACATCAGGCATTGTCTCCAACCCCTGTCCACCTCTATGCATGTCACAATACATCAGGCATTGTCTCCAACCCCTGTCCACCTCTATGCATGTCACAATACATCAGGCATTGTCTCCAACCCCTGTCCACCTCTATGCATGTCACAATACATCAGGCATTGTCTCCAACCCTGTCCACCTCTATGCATGTCACAATACATCAGGCATTGTCTCCAACCCTGTCCACCTCTATGCATGTCACATTACATCAGGCATTGTCTCCAACCCCTGTCCACCTCTATGCATGTCACAATACATCAGGCATTGTCTCCAACCCCTGTCCACCTCTATGCATGTCACATTACATCAGGCATTGTCTCCAACCCCTGTCCACCTCTATGCATGTCACAATACATCAGGCATTGTCTCCAACCCCTGTCCACCTCTATGCATGTCACAATACATCAGGCATTGTCTCCAACCCCTGTCCACCTCTATGCATGTCACAATACATCAGGCATTGTCTCCAACCCCTGTCCACCTCTATGCATGTCACAATACATCAGGCATTGTCTCAAATCTCATCTGTTTCTTTGTACAAATAATGTAAAACATGCAACACAAATACCTCCAGCTAGAGGATCTGAGATCATATCTTGACTCAGTCTGAAATTTTCATGAAACAATACATAAATGTTGGAGGGTTGGACTCTTTGAAAGACACATCTGGGATATCTACCGTAGGCAAGCGGTAGTCAAATAGTCTATTATACCATCACAATTTATACAAGAGAGCAACATAAATAACTTCTCAAGGAACTCATGGTATATTACATGATTGGGTTTCACTAATTGAGTTAATCACCATCTAAACATCACCTCAGTTTGGGAACATGACATCTATAAACCAATAAAACGCAATCACAGGTATGCTTTTAACTCATTTCATGTTTTGAGAAGTATTAAGGCTGCATCCTGAGAAATGACAGCAGGAAACATACACGTGATATCCACATGGTTAATACTTACGGAGAACAACAGGCAATGTTACTCTGACTAGATCAATCACTACAATAACAACAACAAATATATTAAAGTAATGCTACACACATATCTCTCCTATTTTGTCAGTAGCCTACTGAACAGACACATGTAACCGACTTCAACAGGCCTTAGCTGGTGTGTAACATTGGTCAACACTGAGTTAAAAACACTGTACATATATATAAAAGCACCACAAGAATAAAAATAACAAGTTTTTATGATTTTTTTGAAATAACAATAACATATATTTTCCGTTCCTCAGTCCACACAATTATCTGTGTATTTCATCTACTCTTTCTAAACCTGATATACATGGCATATTTCATCTTCCTGTCTTTTGGGAGTACCTACTGAAACCATGAACAAAATGCTACAATAAAGGTCACTTTATTTGAACTTGAACAGTTTGTAACTACTTATCAGAAAAGATGAATTAATGAAATACCTTATGAAGAGAGGGAGAGTGAGATTTGTGTTTCATCATATGTGGTACAAATATGATGGTCTGTGATGAACTCTTTCTTTGATAGTACTGACAGGTCTGTTGATGCCACTGCATGCTGGACATTAGCCCCACACTGTTATCCCTGGGTACACACTTTCCACTGTAGCAGTTGGTTGTTCCATGCCAGGGACACTTAGTCTTTCTTCTCTTCAACATTCTCCTTAAACATAACAACACACAGATCACATAGAAACATTAACAACATATTTTAATCTCACACATAAAAAGGCTTTGGAAGTCAAAACATAAAATATAATCATCCATCTATTTCACCAACAAGAACCATCCCTCGTGGTTCAAGAGAAAATAGGGTTTCCCTCCCCTTGCTGCATTGTCCTGTCACATGGTTACATTAGTGTACTTACACTTCCCCTACCTGAAACTCAGAAGGTCTTTTGTGAAAATAAAAGAAGTTCTTATCCATAAATTTGTCAGAGTTGCACTTCCCATCTTCTAAAATGTCACGAAAAGAAGTCAGAATTAATGGAATTAAAAAATGACTGGTTGTCTAAGATCAGCAAAATGTATCTAAGTGGAATACTCTGTATGGCATGACATCTCACTCATCAAACACTATTGGAACTATTATGGTGGTGTGACATGACTGATGCTGTAGTTGACTATGAGCCAGGAACCAACTGGCCAACATGTATAACTGACTTGTGGTTTAAGGCAGAGAAATCAATTGAAGCCAAAAACAGTATCTACAAGCCTGTTCTGCTTCTACTTCCAGAATCAACAGATTTAAATGACTTCTCCTTTACATCCACAAGCAGCTTTGAACACTAAAAACATATACAGTAACATGATAGAAGCTAACAATTATCCTCTGTAGTTCCACATGAAGAGTGGTGAGTGAATGGCGGTCTGGCAGCAATGTCCACAATAATGCTGACATATCAAGATACAGTTCATGTTCCACAGCACATCCAGACATTATGCCTCCTACAGAAAATGCTCATACCAGGAAGTCCATGCCTCCAGCCAGCCCATAAACAAACTGAAGGAAGTGTCAAGCCTCAACCTAGCTCAATAATGAAGTCACATGTATTTTCTGTTTGATCATTCCACTTCAGGTTCGGGACACATGGTCATTTCAGCTGCACTTAAAAACATAGTCTGATGCCTGTTGTTTATTTCATAAAGACCTTTATGTGTGATGATGTCATGTCCTGTTCTGGAGTAACTCAACAGCTGCATGTGTGATGTAAAACAGGAACCATACCACTAATCAGTTATTATGAATAACCATAGACTGCTGTCTATATAGCAACCCCATCAAAATGACTTGATGCAATAAGGAAGTGTGTATAATGGTACTTGAGCATGATATGCTCTGTTGACCTCCAAGTTGAGCTCTGCAACAGATCCTGATGTCTGTCACCATCACTAACATGACAATGATTCCATGTGATGTGAGAAGTTCCTGAACTTGAAGGGTATGCCTCAGTTACTGACTGTGTATCAGTGAAAGCTATCTTCCATGATCCTTCTCGTGTACAGACAGACAGTAAGTAAATCACGGACTACATATGCTGGTTCTCATAAGCTCTCCTCATTTGCCTGAGGAGTCCAGGGCAAGGGAAAAGGATATGAAGCCATTCTGCCTCTGAATCCTGTTATAAGCTGTGGGATGAAGTTTGATGACGAGCCTGCAGAGCTACATGAGCCAGTGGTCTGCGCTTATAATAGGTCACCTTCACTGAAACCTGTCTTGCTTACATCAGGTGCATTTGAGGAAATGTTTTTACATTGTTCTACACTATTCTATGATCAACGAAGGAATATTGCATACTGTTATGGAGGGATACGATACAATTACAGTGTTTCCGTTCTCCGGTATATACCTGAAAATCACCGGTAAAATTTGTTGGGGACCGGTAAATTGAAACCCGGCCGGACACTTTGTCCGGTAAATAATCATGTATTAAAATAAAAAATCATGGGTAAGCGAAATGACAGTCTTGGCTGTGCTTTCGTGGTCACAAAAATTCTTATGTTTCGGAAATACCCAGGCTAAAAATAACTTTAAAATGAGTACTTACAGTATGGCAATAGGATACGACCGGCAAATGTCATTCATGACCGGTAAAATTTTAGGTTGCCTGACAGTGTCCGATAAATAATTAAGTCAGCGGAAACACTGTAATTATATGGGTAGTTTGACAAGTTAGAGCATGGTAAGAAAAACATCGGTAGGATTGCTTGTACCATAGTTTTACATACCTGTTTTAGCAGCGTAACAAGACTGGCAGGCTCTGGCTTGGCTGTAACACCATGGAGAGTCACACCACGAGATTCAACCTCAAGCTTAGTTGCAGGGCCCAAGGCTATCACCTGACACACACAAGTTTATCATAAGGAGTCACTTTTACACTATACCAACAATACTCCTATACCTTTCACCAAAACAACATAATTATAAATATTAACATGTCAGTGTGCTAAAAATAAGTAATCAGACATATCAGTTTCCAAACAGATTTTATAACCCATGAACCTACTCATTGTAGGTTCACTGTCCAAAACAATCTATAGATCACTACAATAACAACTTCTGTACCCTAGAACAAGGACACCATAACCTGTCCCTCTAATGGTCTTTGTCTCTTTTGCTGGTCATTTGGACATACATTGGAAGTAGTGAACCCAAGCTTCATTTATAGTCACAAATATATTGCAAGAAGCATTCTGTATCTGCTTCAATCATAGTGAGATTGTTACAAGACATCCAATACTTGGTGCACTGTTAATGTCAGGAAATGTCAGAAGCTGGAACCCAACAAGCTTTCTCTCCATTGCCAAAGTTTCTTAGAAAATGGAGTGAACTCCCTACTGACCCAGCAGTCATTCACTGTTGAAGTCATCAACATGGCTCTGTGACAAAGATTCTTTAGATATTAACGGGTGTTGTTCACAGGGCATCATGGACCAGAGTTATTTTCATGGACAGTTATCTGTGTTAAGCCGGTTTGTGCCAGTACTTCATCACAGCTGACTGACTTTTTACACCTCAACATTTTGCCCAGTTGACTCAATTTTTATGTTAGTATGCCTCCTTGATATCATGTAATGTCCTCTACAAAAATTGCATTATTACGCTTCAACGTGAAGCTCAGAACCTTCCAATCATACAAGCACATTCATGATAATGCCAGGACATTGATGTAATAATATGGTGAAGTGCCTCCCAGATAGGACATGGTTTCAGTCTAAGTAAACTTAGGCTCAGTATTATTCATTACACTGCTATACTGAGTCTAACAAAACCTAGTAGAAGGTCGCCTCAGCTAACCTTTTGGACTGACCAATCAGAACACAGCTTACCAAATTTGCATAGGTTCACATTCGCACATACCGTTTGAAATTTTACCTAAAAAACTCGAACGATTCCGAATGCTATTTTTCCACACGATCGCTTCCGAGTGATACACATCGAGGACACATTGAGTAAACAGTCGCTGAAAATAGCGTTTTTTTCAATATTCAAGGATGTCTTCTTGCGGAAATATAAGCTAATAGTAACCATGTCATTAGAAACCCCTAAGCGTACATACTTAGACTGGACATGGTTTAACACTATTTACAAGTACAACACCCTTAAATCTATTAAAGGAAGAAATTCCTTACTTTTATTTTGTCAAGTGGCAGCAGTCCTTTCTTGACCAATGGCTCTGTGTACTGGACGCCAGAAGGGCTGAAGAATACAGCAAACTCGGGCAATCCCTGCCAGAAAATACAGCATACATCTGGCATCATGACACAGTATCTTAGCTGTACTTATATAACACACGGTCAAACACTCAAGCATGTGTACAGATCACATCAGCTGCAAGTTATATGTAGTAATCCTTTTTAGTTATGAATTAAAAGTGTGTTGCTATTACAAGGAACTAGCCAGCCAGATACTGCCTTTTGACTGATGTGTCAAAACATGGTGTGAATCAACAGCTTTACCTTGGCCTGTCAATAACCTGATTTCTATCAATACAACGTGGCAATATTTCCTTAAAATTCCCAACAACTGAAAACTATTCCAATACACGATCTAAGTAGAGATATACAATGTAAACCTATATAGCCAGAAAGGAAAAAAAAATATATGTAATCTGTATTTTGTGGTATTTTCAATTTACAAATTACATTCATTGTTCTATATTGAGATTGTACATTAGGCCAGGCCAATAACATTTCTTGTTTTATGGATTTTGGTCCTCAGAAAACCTAAAGCAAAACAAAACAAACAACAATCACCAGTCAAAGTAATATTTATTCTAAATACTAAGAGTATTATACTTTTGGCATTTTATGAAGTGTATATGGAGTGAAAAACAATCTAAAACAAATTTCTTGTAAGTTTACATTTATTGGCCAATAAAAAATATAGGATTCTATTTTTTGAGCGGGAAAAATTAACTTTCATTTTTTTTCTTATTCTTGAAAAAATATGACCGGCGGATCCTTTAAATACGAAATAAAATTGGTCTGGCCTTAGTATAAATACAATTATAATAATTATCTGGATTGGCTAAGGTGACAATAAAAACATATGTTCATCTAGTTGGTTAACTGGTTGTTAGGTAGCGCATGTACACACACCATGTACATCAAGTTGAGTTCTGTGAATTACAACTGTATGAAAGCGTTGTCTTCCTGTCTGAAGAGGGGCGGTGGGGCAGCCTAGTGGTCAAAGCAGCGTCAAACCAAACTCAGTCAGTCAGTCCTGTCTGAAGAGTTACCATGGTGACCACCCCAAGCTGTTTTAACTTGAATGAAGGGATATTTATCAAGGAATGTTTATGTATATGCCTACTCACACTATTTTTTCAAATGCCATTTCCAGAGAAACTATTTTTTGTATCATTTAAGCAATAATAATCATGCTTTGCTGAGCTCAAAGAAAACCAGAAACATTTTCAAAATAGTGCCCAACAGTATGTGTCTCTGTTGAACTCAATGATGCTAAACTGACAAATTTGAAGAAGTTTCGAAATAATTCAATCCATAAATATTTGTAACATGGCTGTTTTTAGTGTTGGTAATTTTTTCTCTGACCTCAGTGATCATGCTCTCAGGTCAGAAAGTGAGCGAGTGAAAAGGCTTTATGACACTTTATGCAATAATCCGTCACTTTCATAGCGGGATACACCAGAAATTGGCTTCAGACTTTGATCCCATGTGGGAATCGAAACCATGTCTTCAACGGACGAGTGAACACTTTAACCACTGGGCTATCCTCACCTACCGACTGTAGTAGTTATATAGTGGGGGTACCAATACAGGGTACCCTAATGGCTTATTTTGGGTTAATTCTGCTCCCAGCGTCCAGTAAAAATGATGATCCCCAAGCGGGAGACATCATTCGATGTTCCCCCTACTATTGACTACAACGGTGTCCATACACTAAAAATAGACTAGCTTGCCAGCTGAGGCATGTTAAATTCGCCATGCTAACACCAGCCGTCCCACCAGCGTAAAGGTAGAAAGGTAAGGTTTGAATCCAGCGTGTCGCATTCAAGTCAGGCTAGCAGAAGAAACTTTGCAAGTCAGCAGATTGAGGTTTCAAGTCGGTGCTCTACTGGCCTTAGATAGGTCCAGTTCATATATGGTCACTGCCCCCATATGAGCCGCATCTACTGGCCTAGATAGCCCCATGTTGTAGGTCACGCCAGCCATATATGAGTGTTCTACTGGCCTAGATAGCCCCATGTTGTAGGTCATCTATGCCAGCCATCTATGAGCGTTCTACTGGCCTAGATAGCTCCATGTTGTAGGTCAGGCCATATATGAGTGTTCTACTGGCCTAGATAGCCCTATGTTGTAGGTCACGCCTCATTTATGAGCTACTGGCCTAGACTCCATGTGAGGCAACGCCAGCGCTCATTCTTGGGCAGTTTGGGCAGTTTGTGTGCAAGGTTTATTGGGGGTGAATTTCCTGAAAACAATATTCTTAATTTTTATAGGAGCCTCAAAATCTGTAGGGCACTAGGAGTTTCGACAAGTATTGTATCTGCTGCCAATGGGGTGACAAATAGTCCCGCCGAGAATGCAGAACAGCAGAACAGAATACCACCCGCGAACTAAAAAGTGCTATATTTCCAATTGCAAGAAAAAGTATCGCATCTCTCTCGATATTGTTTTTCTTCTATCCTAGTACATTTGGAAGAGGTCCCGGGGTTTGGCCATGGAAACTAGTTTGGGCGTTTCTGTCTTCTCGTCAGCCTGTCTGTCAACCGGTATATCGGTCGGTGAGCTGTGCTTCCAGGTCTTGTAGACAACCTTCCAGAGAAACACGGCAGCTAGCGATAGGTAGGTCCATTTTGTGACCGATTCTAGCATGTGTTGCACCTTCTGGACATCCAGACGGGTCTCTTCTTGTTCCTCCTCAACGCTTTCTATTTCCTCCCGGAGTTTTTCGTCGTCGTCATCAAGCCTAGAAAAGATGTCGACCAACATCGTCACGGTTTGCTCCGCACTAACCGACAACATCGTCGCTCGCGGTTTGCTCCACACGAGCCATGAGCCTCCCCAAGCGGTCGTAGAAGTCCTGGATGGTGGGCGATGTTGGAGCTATCTCGCCGGCGGTCAAGATGGTCGACGGTTCTGCGGCAGGCAATACGACTGTGCTGGAGGGCGACGTCGGAGCTGTCTCGCCGGCGGGCAAGAGGGTAGAAAATTCTGCAGCAGGCTCTTGCCATAGCTCGTACAGAATTGTGGACCCAATACCAAAGCGCTTTTTGACCTCGCTTGCTGGGAGAACACCGCGAAGGGAGCGTATTTCTTGGATCTGGTCCGAAGACAAATCTCTTCTTGGTGGCATGGTTGTTTTTTTCCTGGGTATATATATCCCATACTTCCCATATGTCTATATGGAAATCCCAATCCTGTCACAGTCATCTCCCATTTCTCCTGGGAAATCTCATCCTCTCCCAATCCTATCTAAATTTTTCCAGGGAATCCCATCCTCTCCCATTTTCCCCCAGGAAACTAGCCAAACTCCTAGCAAACTCCAAGCAAACATCACGCAAATGCCAAGTAAAGCGATAACCTGGCTCGATATCTCTGACCTACTTTCTATATAATGCTGTGTGTGTGGATTCGAGTCAGCTGAGTGGTTAAACATTCCTGTATACAATGCTGTGGCTGAGAATGGAATGTGCATGGGCGTTTAAACATTCATTTAGAGATTTGACTTCGCATATGGTATACAACATGTGGGCCTTGGGAACTTATTATTGTAAGTGGGTATTGCTGGGCAAGCCCACGGCATGCGGAGAGCGCTGTATGATCGAATATTGTCACATGCATGGCCACTGTGTGAGAAGGGGCCATATCAATTATGCATGTCAAGTATGTGGAATAGGGGTCAAAGGCCATTATCGTTTGTGCAAAGCCCATGGAGCGGATGTAGTTCAAAACCAACTTATTTACGACAAAAAGAAAGATTATCTAAATGAACGTAACCGACTACTCAGAATAAAAATCTAATTTTTCCTGCACATTGAAAACAACCTATTAGACATTTGACTTTGCATATGGTATACAACATGGCTACTGTCAGAGAACTGAAAGCTCTCGCGAAAAGTTGTGGACTAACTGGTTATTCTCGCATGAGGAAAGCCAAATTGCTGACCAAACTGGACATTACACATGTTAAGCCCCCCACGGTTAAAGAGCTAAAAACTCTCGCGAAAAGTCGTGAACTGAAACATTATTCTCGTATGGGAAAAGCCCAATTGTTAACCTTTCTGGAAGACACCGAGCCGGTCAAAATGCGATTTGTGCCGACAGACCACGCCGTGGGTAAGTATATAGGAGGCTGGCGGATGGTAGTGAATTCTAGTATCGATGTCAACGACGTCAAACCCCTCATAGCTAGCAAGATCGACGAGGAGATGGATGATTTAAAAAGTATTAAAAACCAGCTCACGATTAAAATGTCGCTTAACAAACAGCAGACGGATGGTAGTACCGAGTACATCAAACCTTATTTCAGAGGCAAGCAGGAAGTCATACTTCAATCCGACTCTTTCCCTTCGACCATCGATTACTCGTTACAAATAATACAAAAATATACCAACATGGGCTCTGGATGGGTGGTGGATCGTGTTGACACCATCTATGTGGATATAGCGAACTACATTCCATTCAAAGGCGGATCGTACCTCCCGGTGCCCGAGCATTTCAGGAGAAACAGGCCATCGTTAACCCCGAAAATAAAGGTGATAATTGTATGAGGGTAAAGGTGAAAGCTGCCTTATTTAAACCCAAAGGTAATCCACATAGGCTTTCCAGCTATCCCCCGGATGAGGAAGACAGTCTCGACTTTATGGGCATAGATGAACCCACTCCCCTATCCCAAATCTCTAAGATAGAAAAACAAATAATTTAGCCATCAACGTGTTCGGACACAAGGGGAATAGTGTTATTGTGCACAGGATAAGCCCTGTGACAGATAAAATCGTGTGCAGGATCAATTCATTCCTCATCGATAAAGAGGATAAATTTCACTACGCATGGATTAAAAGTTTGAGCAGGCTGTTGCACGACCAATCCTCTCACAAAGCGAAGAAGTATTTTTGTGAGAGATGTCTGCACGGGTACAGTCGCGCCGAAGTACTAGAGGCGCACGAAGAAGACTGTCGAGGTGTGGGAGAGACCACGATCAGAATCGACATGACTCAAGAAAAGGAAAACACGCTAAAATTTATCAATCATAAACATCAAATGTCCATACCCTACGTCATCTACGCCGACTTCGAAGCCCTCATAAAATATATTGACCACAACAATCCCAACACGACCAAACAAAGTGGTCGTCTGATGCGATGGACAAACAAAACAGCCTGTGATCTACCGAGGCCACGACGCAGCTGAAACATTTCTCACGTACTTACAAAACGAAGAGAAAAAAATCAGGAAAGCTTTGTTGGACCCTGCCCCCATGGATATGACACCAGAGGCTGAGCGAGCTCATCAACGAGCTAGATATTGTCACGTATGTTGGGGACCCCTTAAGACAATTTCGTGAGAGATCATTGTCACATCACCGGTCAATACAGAGGTGCTGCTCACAACGTGTGTAACTTGAAGCTTAGAATCGATTCCAAAACCATACCCATACCATTGGTGTTTCACAACCTCAGAGGTTACGATGCCCACCTTATCATGCAGGCCATCTCGAAAATCGATGGCGATATCAAGTGCATCCCCAACAACATGGAAAAATACATTTCCTTCTTGTTAAACGGTCCCTCTACAGTTTGGTGAAGGCCAACGATACCTATAACAAATCAATACACCGACGCGGCGACTCAGTCTTTGCTGTTGAGGAAGGGTGTGTCCCCGTACGAGTACATGGACGATTGGTCTAAGTTTGAGGAGACACAATTACCACCCATCGAGTCCTTTTAGAGCCAGTTGACCGAGTCCCATATATCACAGGACGATTACGACCACGCTCAGAATGTGTGGGAGAAACTGGACTGTAACCATTTATTTGGTTATCACGATCTCTACTTGAAAACAGATGTGCTACTACTCGCCGACGTCTTCGAAATTTTTAGAAAGATGTCTTTGAAACAAGATCAACTCGACCCGGATTGGTACTACACCAGCCCTGGTCTGTCGTGGGATGCACTCTTGAAGAAAACAAGAGTCAAATTGGAATTGTTAACGGATTACGACATGCACCTGTTTATTGAGAAAGGAATGTATAATCCGAATCAGTCCTCATACCATCTCCTCTATCTGCGATTAATCTCTATGGTTGGGCCATGAGTCAAACTTCGCCTACAGGTGGGTTCGAGTGGGTTGATAGCGACCATTTTAAAACAAAGAACACTATCCCCGAAAACTTTGAGAGAGGATACATATTCCGAAGTATCCCAAAGAATTGCATGCCTCCCACAACAGTTATCCGCTGGCTCCCGAATGATTAATGGTCGATCGAGAATGGATGTCCGAATATCAACGAAACTTGTTGGGAGATAACAAACTGGCTAACGTGGAAAAACTCGTACCTAACATGATGAACAAGAAAAAAGTACCTGGATGGAACCCTACATTCGGTTGAATATGGATCTGAGAAGAAAAGCCACGAGCGACTTTGAGAAAAACCTCTCCAAACTGATGAACAACTCGGTATTTGGAAAAACCATGGATAATTTAAGGAAGCACGTCAACGTGAAATTAGTCAGATCACACCAGGAGGAAAAACTAAGGAAACTCATAGCGAGTTCAGCCTTTAACCTCAGTAAAATGTTCAACGATGATTTGGCGGCTCTACACATGGCTAAGATTCACATCAAACTCAATCGACCGGTCTATGTGGGGTTGAGCATTCTCGACTTATCCAAACACTTGATGTATGATTTCTACTACAACCAACTAAAAAAACAATACAGTGATCGATGTGAGGTGTTGTACACTGACACCGATTCGTTGTTGATGGAAATTCGTACCGAGGACGTGTACGAGGACATGGCAAAACATCCACCTGTACGATACGAGTGATTACCCCCCAGACCACGCCCTACACAACCAAACAAATAAAAAGGTCCTCGGCAAGATGAATGACAAATGTGCTGGGACACCCATCGCGGAATACATCGGGTTAAGATCCAAGATGTATTCCATCAAGAAAGCAGACGATGAAATAAAAAAAGCCAAAGGGGTCAAGAAATACGTCGTGAAACAATACATCAAACACACCCTCTTCAAACAAGCTCTATTCAAGAATAAAATGTTCAAACATCAAGTGAATGCGTTGAGAAGCGACAAACACAAAATATACGGGATCACCCTCAACAAGACATCGCTGTCTCCCATGGACATGAAACGATGGATCGCCATCGATGGCGTCACGACTTACGCGTATGGACACCGTTGTAGTCAATAGTAGGGGGAACATCAAATGATGTCACCCGCTTGGGACTTCTACTGTTGTCAATACACAATATCATCCATATACACTTCACACCTTCAAATGTAAGTGAACGTGTTTCCTACTCATCAGTAGTGGTTCTGTCCAGCAACAAGACATGTCTTTTATGATTATTATCCTGGACCAGTGTTAAGACTGATCGGTATGAAAAGACGACACAATCTGATCTGACTGTTGCATTTGAGAGACTATTTATATATCAAATTATGAAAACCAAATGATTACAATGGTCAAAAAGATTAGTTTGTGTTTGGAAAATATAATGACTTACATGGTGACAAGACAGATGACATACTACTGAACATGCTATTTAGGATTGAAGGTGAGTAGATATAAACACAAAAGTAAGTAGAAACACATGCTGGACTACCTGCTGATCCAGGACCCCCTTGACACTGCTCTCTAGGGCTTCATTGGGTTTGGTCTCATACGCTGTGATCTCCTCAACAGCTAATTCTACATACAATAAAAAAATCGATCTGTCATTTTGTAGACATTTGTAACTACCATACAGACACATTATTGAATGGTGTCGAGAACAGCACTTAATTCCTGCTGGTTTGTGATGCATGAAAAGAAAAGAACACAAACTCCTTAGAAGGAGAAGTGTTCTGGCTCCAGTATATCTGGTAGACATCTGCTGACTCCAGGGAACACCTACATCAAATAAACTGAAGAAAGTCTTACAAGACTGCTGCTTCATGAGAAGTTGAGGCCAACTAATCTCAGAGACCCTTATGGAGGCTATTCATGTAATATATATCATTTTCAAACACCATAATTAATGTGAGGTCACTATATTCCTGCTTCTGAACTTTGCATAGACTTTTTCAAGTACTGTGCAAGCCTTCAGTTGTGTTTGTATTTTCAAACCCTCAAGTTTTTCATTATGGTATTCTCTGTGATTGTTTTGAAGATGCAGGATACAAGAACAAAGACTACTAACACGTCCGTCATCTGATGTTCATTAACTTTATATTGGCAGAGTACATGTGAGGTCTGGAGTAGTCCATATAATCCAGGTAGGTAGGCTCTCTTTCCCTTTCTTTACTGATAGTCGTAATGGGAGTGAAACTATGACCTAATGAACTAAATGTATGCCAAGACATGCATATTGGTATAAGGACTTACATCACGGGTAATACATTGGTCATTAACATGCTGCTCACATAAGTGTTCATATCCACAGGAAACACATATTTCACATGATAAGATGAGTAATATTTAAAGTGAGTATGGTTTAATAGATGCCATCAAGAATACTACAGTAAATTGCATATATTTGTTTCACACCATGTAACAACACATAAACACATTCTGGTGGCATATACCAAATTAAACAACAACCCTCTCTCTCCACATCAACAAAACAAGGTGTCACAGTGATATATATTACAGTGTCATTACATTTTCAGATGGAACCTTGGTCACACCGATGGATGTCATGTGACACACTTATCTCCTCTTGTAACAATGTCCTAATGTCCTTCCAGCAGCTGTTCTGCCACTGACAGGGACACCACCCAACAAGGCTTATTGGCTTAGTCGTGTTCTAGTCATTTAATGATACAACATTGTTGCTCAATGTGTCCAGATGTTATCTTTTCATATCTATCATATATTACCCAGCTTATATTAATTAGATAACTTATTGTCCAGACATGTATTTGTCCATAGCTTAACTGATACCAAGGTATAAAAGAGTGAGTGAGTATGGTTTTACACCGCTTTTAGCAATATTCCAGCAATATCACAGCAAGGGAGACCAGAAATGGGCTTCATACATGTGGGGAATCGAACGCGGGTCTTCCAAGTGCAACTTTCTTCCACATAAGACTGAACAAAGCTAACTTTATAATTGTTACATAAATGTGCAGCTACCTTTCTCCTTCAAGTGTTGCACCAGCACGTCTCTGCGGATGTCAGCACAGGGGTACAGGAATGGTTTACCATCTTTCGGGGGATCTGCATCTCAGGACGAGAACACATCAATACTGATCCACATCACAGATGGATGATGTAGGTTACAAGCATGCATCACAGATGGATGACAATGTAGGATGGATGACAATGTAGGTTACAAGCATGAAACAGTCACATCAATACAATGTAGGTGATCAATGTACATCACAGATGGATGACAATGTAGGTTACAAGCATGAAACAGTCACATCACAGATGGATGACAATGTAGGTTACAAGCATGAAACAGTCACATCACAGATGGATGACAATGTAGGTTACAAGCATGAAACAGTCACATCACAGATGGATGACAATGTAGGTTACAAGCATGAAACAGTCACACCAGAGGGAATGTTCTTGTCCGTGCAAGAACAAGCAGCTGCCACAAAGTGAGGTAAAGTGAAATGGGGTTTAACATCTCATCCAAGATTACTGCACATATGTAGTAAAGTTATTAAGCAGTTTCATGGTGCTACCTCACTAGACACACTACACTGCCCACCTGTCCCTCACTTCATCCCCCTTAATGCCGGACGACAAGCTGCGTAACAAGTACCATTTCTTTAAACTCTTTGGGAAGATACAACTAATGGGTTGAGCAACTGACCTTCTGCTCTATAGGCAGATCAAACAGACCACATAGGGACTCCACTTGTCGTACCTAGTCAGTAACATTGAATCATAATCTGATTTATACTCTACTTGGTGTCTGATACCTCAAGTTATCTCAGTAGGGTTATGTTAGACTGAGAAGATCACTGGGAGCAGTGGCTATTATCAGATAAATTCCAAGTTTCCACAGGCTCGCTGACTTCGTTGACACATGTCATCGGTTCCCAATTGTGCAGATCGATGTTCATGCTGTTGATCACTAGATTGTCTAGTCCAGACTCGATTATTTACATACCGCCGCCATATAGCTGGAATTTGCTGAGTGTGGCGTAAAACTAAACTCACTCACTCACTCAAAGTTTCCATGTGTTTCAACCTGCATAAAATATACTAAGCCGCAAAAGAAATGTCAGTTTGGAAATTTCCTTTGCAGAAACAGATAACTGTAAACTCATTTAATGTTTTGATTGTATATTTTTGACAACATCTCCAACTTCACCTGAGCAAAGACATTCCTTCCCAAACTCAGAACTGAACCCAGGAAATGATCTCAAAAACGCAACCTGACCTCGGAGATGGTACGGTTTTCTCCATGTTTTTCATGCAACTCATGTTGCACGGGCTGTTCACAAGGACCAGCCCTATAAAATGCACCCCCAAACCTGGTTGAAACATTCACATTACAACGTCAGCAGGATGCCGCGACTCACGACAGCTCAGAGGAACCAGGAGCTAGGAAGACTTGAAGCTGGCCCCACTGCACAAGCCGTTGCCAATTACTTCCAGGTCAACGTTCAGACCATCTACAGGCTGCAGCAACGTTTCTGGGCCACCAACACCACAAATGATCGCCCCCGTACTGGCAGACCAAGAAGACAAGACCACCATGTTGTGTGACAGCATGTACAGAATCCCTTCATGCAGACATTCGAAACAGCACGCCAGAGGGTGGGAACACATGGAAGACTAATCAGTACTGATACAGTATGCCGATATCTTAACAGTGGGAACCTCCATTGTCGTAGACCTTACCGTGGACTGTCATCGGCATGAACGTCTACAGGTCTACACTATTATTTCACAGGACCCTCATAATGCCCTACAACACCAAAACTGGCGATACAGGCAATGGAGAACTGTTCTGTTCACAGATGAGAGTCGGTACTGCGTATCAAATGCAGATGGCAGAACAAGAATATGGCGACGACGTGGCCAGCGTTACTCAGACCAATGTGTTATGAAGACTCATGGGGAGGTGCAAGCATCATGGTATGGGGAGGAATAGGCCTGAACCAGAGAGTGGGTCCTGTGATGTTCCAGAACCTTGGTCCAGGGAGAGGAGGCCACATCACAGCGGTGCGCTACATCAACCAATCTCTCAGATCCCACGTCATACCACATTTCGCATGTCACTGGAACAACATTTTCCAGCATGATAACGCCCGGGCCCATATGCATACTGCCAGAGCTACACGGGATTTCCTACAGCAAAACGGTGTCAACATTATGCAGTGGCCAGCCCTTAGTCCTGATTTAAACCCAATTGAACATCTTTGGGATGAAATTCAGAGGAGACTGAACAATGTCATACCAAGGCCGAACACAGCCGATATATTGCGCCAGGCCTTTCTTAGAGTGTGGTCCAGGTGCCAATGGCCTTCATCAAACGATTGGTGCACTCCATGCATAGACGCTGTGCTGCAGTTATTGCCACTCGTGGTGGTCACACTAGATACTGAAGTCAAGAGTCTGAATGGACTGCAGATGTTCACGTAATGTCTTGAAATTATGCTGAGTTTTTCATTGATGTGTCAAGATATTGCACACAAAAAATGTTTTTGATCCGCTTATTATGTCCATTTCTGTAATGATTTGATTACAGTGCCTATCTAATTTTGAATTCGTACTGACATTATTTTTGCTGCTGAGTATATGTATAAAATATATTGCAGAAACATAAACGTCAGCAGTGGACATTATGATGTACAATGGGGAAAACCCTATGAACTACATATGAACCTTTGTTATATTTGTTGTCATGAAAACCAGAACATGAACAAATACAATGTAACAATATACAGCATCCTAAATAGCACAAATCACCAGTTCAAGGTCGGGTTGATATCAGTGAACAGTTTGGTCGCATCCGGTGTCAAAATGCAATGAAAGGAAGGACTAATGAACATCAATTTGTGGTGCTGGAGGATAATTGGCCTCTGTATCCAAATTAAATGAGAAAACAGTGTTATCACTTTCCCCAGCAAGAGGCACAATATTATTTTGCCTGTTTATATACTTGTGAATAATATGACGTTAATGATGAAAACTATGAATAGGTGGCCTAACACAGTAAAAATACATGTGGAAGGGGATGTAACTCTGGAAACAAAATGTTTATGGATACATTTCCGACGTCTTGATGAGGATCTCTAACATAAACTTGCGAGTTTCATTCATGCAACAGTAGTTTCTGAGATACCTTGTCCCCATTCCTGACACTAAGCACTAAGTAGAACAAGGTAACACACATACAAAATTACATACCAAAATGCCCAAAAGGGACCTGTTCAGCATGTGTTCGATACATACGCAATGTTTCATAAAAAAATACTGAAAGGTTTCTGAGTTATGCTCATGACATGAAATATGATGGACAGACAGGAGGGAAAACCTGAGGGCAGATGGACAACACCCACTAATATATCAGCTTCCAGCTTGAGGACCACTCTCTGTAGCTTATTTACAACAACAGATCATGAAGGTCATAAATACAAGGTCAACACTTTGGGAAACATACACATACAATGCAGTATGAAGTCCAGCTGTGACCTCAATAACATGAGCATTTTTTAAATAATACAACTGCCAATTCGGAAAACGCATGCTAAATTATGTCAAATACTCATTTCGCCAAATTCAAATTACTGAGTTCATAAATATATTCAGTACCAGCTGAGATAAGTTTTGCAAGTTCTGTTGCATTGCCCGAGTCCTCTCCTGTAGTGGTGAATCCTGCCTTCTTGGCTGAAACACAAGACATGCAACATGGATCAAATGGTAAAATAGGTATTACAAATAATCAATCATTATCAAAAGAAGACAAAAATATAAGAATGTTCACAAAAGATAACTAATCAATATGAATAAACAACTTGTCTCAAATCTAAACTTACTAATAGTCAGTAGAATTACCCAATGTTTTACGCGACGGGCAAATGTACGTCCAGTATAAACAAATGTAAAGAATGGACACAGAAAAATATTCTCTGCGTCCAGATGGACACAAGATACTATTTACTGTACCCACAACACATCTGTGACTTTGCTAGGTGTTTTGTTGTTTCTTTCAGAGCAGTAACGTGTATCATTTCACCCATCAGTCCACATGATCAATGATTCATTTTAGGCTCTAAGAAAATTATCAAAACATAAAGTTCTCTACACTATTCTTTCACAGGACCCTCAAAACTACTAATAAGGGTCCCCTGGCCCCCTGTGTTTGTGAATTGAGCCTGATTACCTCCCTTCCATATCCACGTTGATCACTTAGATCGGACCAGTAATTCTTTATGTAAAGCAGCTCACCTAAAACACCTGTAGCTTTTCCAACTACATAGCACTTCATGCCACTGAATTTCTTTCCTTTATCTGAAAGATAAAATGTCATAGCTACAATTAGCAACAGTGTGGTGAAAAGTTGGACACCAAATCCTCAAGATCATAAGCAGTTTGTTATTATCTGACCTAAAAAAGGAAGAGATGTACCAAATGTGTTTCTTGCTTTAATTTTTTTCCACTGATCCATGACCCAATTTTGGTGAAATTATACTCGGGTCAGTTGGCATATAGCAAGTTGAATTTAAAAACTAGAATCCACTTCAATGATCACCACTGGTTCTGATGCTACCTGAACTTTTTGTGACTATCGGACCAGTGTCAAGTGTTGCAGACAAGGTAATGACAAGGATATAGGTAGACCAGTCGGTAGAGTACTGGCTAGAAACATGTGGACAGATTTCAAGGTGCATTGTATGTTATAACCTTGACTTTGGATCTTACAACCTTGACTTTGGATCGTACAACCTTTACTTCAACTTAATGTGACTTTGGTTACAAATGCATCTTGCTCCCATTATGAACTTGGCTTTTGATAAGTACTGCGTGCACAGATAGTCATAATTGACAGATCATCTCGTTATCATAACAGTTGTGGGTTCCAAGGTAAAGTACAATGTGGCAACAGAGCCATTCTAAGGGTTCAGTTTAAAGTTCAAAGCAGATCTCTTTACATGGGACAATATGGATGTTATGGAAAGTAACCAGAAATACTTACTAAATAAAACATCCCACACAATGTATGAAATAACATTAGCCAAAAGCATAGCAATAACAGTTGATATGATAAAAGTTTGGGTAGCCTAGTTTACTACATGAAGTAGAGGCTACCTGCAAGGCCCTCTGATGCCTTCACCACTGCTTCCACTGCTCGCGGACTGGTGAGAATGATGGCTGAGAAGTCAGACAGGTTCTGTAGATGTGTCTTCAACTGATCCTGGTTGACAAATGTAAATGACAACACTGGAATGTTCACTGCTTCATAGCCATTGTTTTTCAGTTCCTGTGAACAGACACAGACAGCAGATATAGAGTAAACAATAGCAAAAGTTATAGTCTCAATGGTTCCTTGAGCAGAGAGAGTTGCAGAGAACATATCTTACCAGAGAACTACAGGAAATACATGGACATGGAGTTTTACACTCATTATCAAATTTACATGCTGTTCTAAATGAGAAAAAGTTAGATTCCTAAAAGTACTTATTTATTTCAGTTCTAAGACCTATCATTAGAAGAAATAATGAGAATGGACATACATCACAGCAATGGACTTGCAATAAACAAGAGGTAAAACTCATATGGTTTATTGTTGATTAATGCTGATAAGAGTTATCGTGAACATCATGATAACACAAAATAAAATAACTACGTAGTATCCCTTTAGAGACTTGAGGTAGACAAGCAGGTAATAACAAATATAAAATATGAAATCTTTGATTACCAGTAGACATGGTGACGTGCCATTTAACATGTTTAAATGTATTTTATGTACTGCTAGATTTTGTTTTATATGCAGATATAGAGATTATTCTCTGTGTGTTCTTGAAGTCAGCTTTATGCACTTTTCCATCCTGCCACAGGCATGTTGTTTCATTCCTTCCCTGCTTAGTCAGTCAGTGAGATCTATCTTTCATTTTTACAGTGATTAATTTACGAAAGGATCTAACACATTAAGAGTTATTGAAATTGTGAGTAAATATTTGTGTCATCTGTGATGCAGTAATTATTTTTTATATGTTCTAAGCATCTTAACCTGAAAATTGTGTAATATATGCAGGATTTCATCTGGATGAACAATGAATTCACAACCCTACCTTAGCAAATTTATCTTCTTCTTTTTCTTTTGTTGCTTTGAAAAGCATAACCAGCTTGGGTTTGACCTCCGACATGATGCTCACAACCTTGGTCTATCTGAAAGATTGAAGAATTATATTAAAAAAATATCCACATTTTTCATCACAACTTGTTGTGAAATGGTAGATAGTTTGACATCTGCTGTATGTTTGCCATGCACATCTCTCATGTCTGCTCTCTAGTTAGATCCACTGATCACTACAGCAGACATCGACTGGAATCACATCAAACCCATCCTCGATAATCTCCAGGGTATATGTTCCGATAAATCTCCACTATACTCTGGATGCATCTACGGCTTGGCCCGATGATTTTATTACCTCCCTTGGATGGCTTTTTATCCAACCAGGTGTCTATGCTTGGAAGTCGAGCGTATCAATCACAACTCAATTTCGCTTTTTAAACTATCTAAATGTTTAAACTTGGCAACACAATAATATATTGTTGCAGAGGTACTCTGAAAGAGGTAGAAGGAGTTCTGCATATATCTTTTCAAGGTTTCACACCTGTCAATTTGTCTGTATGTTTTCCCCAAAAATCTCCGCATCTGCGACAGCTACTTTCTGATTGGCTACTGTGAGAATGCTGATCCAGCAAAGGGAGGTAATAAAATCATCGGGCCAAGCCACAGATGCATCCAGAGAATAGTGGAGATTTATCGGAACGTATACCCTGGAGATTATCGAGGATGCATCAAACCATGCTTTGAATAACTCTTTGTGTTACCACCTTAGGTATGGTTACAACTATAGTCCATTTGGCTCAAAGGTGGACCGAATAATTGCAATCTAACTCGAAAAATGATAAACGCATTCAACATCAGACCAACTCTGTGGGTGTTTTGCAGAATTTATGTCCTAAGAATAAATAAGATGATGAACAAACTATCATAAAAATATTGACACATTTCACTATTTGTTACGAGAGAGGAGTGCAAAGAGAAAAACGGCCAGGTGTGCGTGAGAAAGGATTGAGACGGCACAGCACAGGTAAATGATTCTATAACTTTGTCGGCACTTGTGCACATGCTCTATGTTCACATGGCTGTTCGTCTCTTTGGGCTTCCACAGCATCGGTTCTCTTTTGAGCCAAATGGACTATAGTGGCAATATCATAGCGCACAGCATGGTCAGTGAATTTTTTCATGATTTTCTTACATTTTCTTTTATAGTAAAGTGCAAACTAATAACATATTTCTCAATGTGTAATTGTATATTCAATCAAGCTTGCGGCCCTCATGTCAACTTTCACTCTCAGTATGACCAATGTCCATTGGGCCGGGACAAAAATAATGGTATCTGAAAGCTTATTTTTATTTCTAAAGGATATGGTCGGGCACCAGAATTCAAGGGTCGGTCGGGTAATCAGAACCACAACATTTTCTTAAGGCCTTTTCAGTCAGCAGCTAACTCCATAACAGTAGTCTATGACAGGCACAGAACATTCCCACCACCAGTTGTACATTTGTTCATTTCTTTATGCCAGATGCAACAAGTGACAAGTCACTACCATGGGGTGTCATAAGGGTCCACAGCAATGAAAGGTTTGCTTGAACGGGACTGAATGGCTCAGATCATCTGGGACTGCATGAGTGCATGCCTGTCTTCTTCAGAATAGAGTAATAATCAAATAGCCGGAATATTTTTGAGTACAGAGGGAAAAAAAATCCACTAAGTCACCTCTTGCAACAAGCATAGGTTGTACAGACTATATGCTTAAAGACACATCCAAAGTTCCATGTGTTTCTAAATCATGCATGCAATAATTTGTAGCAGTGATACCACAGCTTTAGTTCACATTCGATTCAATTCTTAAACCCAAAGTTACAATACAGCTCCACACATCTAAGTCAACAATGCAAGACCTGAACATAGTAAAACAACATCAGTCATGTTGTTTAAAACAAAGAAGAGGCTTGTGTATTTTTTCTAATGGATAAGTTACCAAACACTAGTTGCCAGCTTGATTAGATTACAAGCCATGACAGTGTTTATCAAAGCCTAGATTACAATATAGATATGCCTCTGTCATCAGAAGCCAAAAACTCTACTAGTTCCAGGCCACCAGTCTAGTAGTTGTACCTCTGGTCACATCGTCACATCTTCCACAGTCCATTGATGTCTTTTTTATCATTTTCACTTTGGATGAGACTGCTTATATAGATAAACCTATGTTAGGAAATGTCCAACGTTTATCGAGAAGATTATCCTAAAATGTGAAAAACTCATTCCATTTGCTCATTTATCCACCATGTGCTGTCACTGAAGCATTACAGAGAGATAGCAACAGTAACTTTGATGTGCAAAGCTATAATAATATTGTCATGCACTTCACTGTAGCAGATACTGTAGTATATTTGGGCTGGGCTGGGCTGGGCTGACTGACTGACTGAGTTTGGTTTTACGCCGCTTTTAGCAATATTCCAGCAACATCACGGCGGGGGACACAAGAAATGGGCTTTACACAATGTACCCATGTGGGGATTCGAACCCGGGTCTTCGGCGTTACGAGCCAACGCTTTAACCACTAGGCTACCCCACCGCCCCCTGGGCTGGGCTCTGTAACCCAAGTACCTGGCTTGGGAAATAATTTTCATTACGCCATATATATGGACCCATCTGACTGGTCATGGGTAACTGATATTCTGCTACATTACATAAATTCATAGAACTGAAATAGTGAACCTTTTACAGTTTATGTTCTTTCTTAAGTTCTAATGTACATCAAACCCCCAAAGCTTGCATTAGGTGCAAGTGTTATTTCAGAATCAGTGTGCTGGTTTACAAACAAGAAAAGTGTCACGTGATAAGCCTACTCCCTTCAGATGGTCACTAGACAAAGTAATTTAAGTTTGGTGGTTATGGGCAATTGTTTACAAACAATGCTTCAATGAGTTGAGATTCTGTCAGTTTTCCTGGAATGTCCATGGCAGTTGGGTGTGCAAGTGCTGCAACAGGCAGAATGCACTCAAGAGGTGGAAGGTGGCTGTCATTCATCTAAAAACTGTTACTCCAATATACAGTTGATAAAAGACATTGTTACTTTATTGGTAGTAAATGCTTACTTACTGATAAATTGGCGAATATTACAGCTAAAAAATGGAAGTCTATTTATAATCTAGTCTCAACCAGAAAATGTTATCGTTATGATAAAGTAATGAGCCACACTGTTTGGACAATTTCACGTGCAAGAACACAACCCTGACATATATCTATAGCTTAAAGGTCACATGCAACGTAAAACACAACTTTGCAGATTCTGATATCTTTCGGTATGGACTTACCGAAACAAAGCGTCAAAAATGCAAATTCAACTTATAAAGTTGAAAAATAACGCGATGAAAAAAAACGCTTGAAATCGGAGTTCAAACGTTTCACTAATTTTCCCCAGACTTTTCTGGGGAATCACGGAGTTCAACAGCTGGGCTGCGCTCATAGCACGTCGCGCCAGTGAAATAGGTTCAGCGCAACTTGGAGGCGGGCTGTCTGGTGAATACCGGTGAAGGCTTTGGTGTGAGCTATTTTCATAATGTTTTGTTGATATCCCACAGGCGCGAGCTTTTATATGTTATGACAGTAAATAAACTGTTTATATAATTTCATTTGTTTATTTCACCACACGTTCTTCTTACCGAGTCACTTTCTCAGTTCGATGCTTAAAAGCAATGTCATTATTTAAGCGTTGACACAATTTCTAACTGTGATATAGATATGTAAGCTGTCACAGACAAAACTCAATGTCTTGTTTTATTGACACCTGTGTGTCTGCCTGCCTGTCTGCTAATGACAATATTCAATACACAACTGTGATCACTGACCACATGCAATTTGAACTTAACACCAATCAGGCTATACACCATAAACAAAAGCGCATTGATTTATGGCCCGAGTTCGGGTCTCTGTCACATTATGTAATTACACAGACAGGCAGGTGTGATACTTGAACACATGACATGTTATGATGTCTGTTGATTGCAAAATGTTATACACAAAAAATGAGCATGTATTTACAAAACCCAACATCTCTATATATACACACAATGAGCCGTGAAGGCAGCATCTGCTAATGAACCAGCCGTTACACTTGAGTGCACACCCACCCGCTCTGACTGGGTTCGGTATCCCGACTGCTTCGTTTCGAGGGAGGTAAACCCAAGTACAAAATATTGCACTTTTGATTTATGCGGGCGCTGAAGGGACCTCATAAAATAAAAATTATCTTGGCGCACAAGTTAATATCTTGGCGCTCAAGTTAGTTATCTTGGCGCACAAGTTAGTATCTTGGCGCACAAGTTAATATCTTGAGCGCACAAGTTAATATCTTGGCTAGCTCAAGTTAATATCTTGGCGCACAAGTTAGTTATCTTGGCGCTCAAGTTAGTATCTTGGCGCACAAGTTAATATCTTGGCGCACAAGTTAGTTATCTTTGGCGCACAAGTTAGTTATCTTGGCGCACAAGTTAGTATCTTGGCGCTGAGAGCATTAAGTTAATATCTTGAGCTCAAGTTAATATCTTGGCTCAAAGTTAGTATCTTGGCGCACAAGTTAATATATCTTGGCACAAGTTAATATCTTGGCGCACAAGTTAATATCTTGAGCTCAAGTTAATATCTTGGCGCACAAGTTAATATCTTGAGCTCAAGTTAGTATCTTGGCGCACAAGTTAATATCTTGGCGCTACAAGTTAATATCTTGAGAGCTCAAGTTAATATCTTGAGCGCTACAGTTAATATTATCTTGGCGCACAAGTTAATATCTTGAGCAGCTCAACATCTTAATTATATCTTGGCGCACAAGTTAGTATCTTGTGCGCACAAGTTAATATCTTGAGTATTAATGTCTTGGCGCTACAAGTTAACATCTTGTTAGTATCTTGGCGCACAAGTTAATATCTTGACTCAAGTTAATATCTTGGCGCACAAAGTTAGTTATCTTGGCGCACAAGTTGTTAGTATCTTGGCACAAGTTAACATCTTGGCGCGCACAAGTTAGTATCTTGAGCTCAAGTTAATATCTTGATGCGCACAAGTTAATATCTTGAGCTCAAGTTATCTTGAACAAGTTAGCACAAGTTAGTATCTTGTAGCACAAGTTAATATCTTGGCTCAAGTTAATATCTTGAAGCTGGGGTTAGTATCTTGGCGCACAAGTTAGTATCTTGTCGCACAAGTTAATATCTTGGCTCAACTCCGTGTTTAGCATCTAATGGCATTAATGGAGCAGCACATTTGCTTGACTGCTGGCTAAAATGTACAAACTTATATCCTTTTGGGAAGATTTCAAAGCGATGCAAAGTCGGAGTTAACTATAGGTGTTTATGATGAGACTATGTACAAGTATGCAAATGTATCATGAACATTGATAATGTTTATCATATAGCGTTCATCGTCTTTATGCTTGTCAATACTATTCTTTGTATCTGATTTTACCACTTTTGCTTTATTACATAAAGCAGGCCTAGGTATGTGTCATGTCATAATAAGAATTAAAACATAAACATGAGTAGGAGTTTATTGCAGGGATGATTAGTGGTTTTACTTACTTCTTATATTGGTACATAGTATTATGAACACTTGGATAACTTGTTTTTACTCTGGCTTTATTTTGTATATATAGTATTACATGACCCTGAAAAATGTAAACATTGAGTGTTATACTTAATTATCTTAATTATAAAACTAATATCTGATGTATTGGAAGTAAAAGTCGACCACTTTCAGGGAACTATAGTTTGTAGTCTTGGTATGCATGTATCAGTAATGTTTCCTAGCGTGGGTACAATGGCAGTTTAACTCTGTACAATATCATTTAAAACCCGCCTTGATTTATTTGATCCATTAGTATGTGCATTATAGCATATATACCGACTTTATTTCTTACTGAAATACCGTGTTCCCGTTTCACTTCTTCCATTATCAATCCCTTATGTATCACATTATGTGTGTTGTAGTTTATTTAATGGACTTACGGAAACAAAGCGTCAAAAATGCAAATTCAACTTATAAAGTTGAAAAATAGCGATGAGAAAAAGCGAAATCCGAGGAGTTCAAGCGTTTCACTAATTTTCCCCAGACTTTTCTGGGAATACGAGGTTTCAACAGCTGGGCTGCGCTCATATGCGATGCGTGCGCGGTGAAATAGGTTAGATGCAACTTGGGCGGGCTGTCTGTGAATACTTTCGGTGAAGGCTTTGGTGTGAGCTATTTTCATAATGTTTGTTGATATCCCACAAGTAGTGAGCTTTTATATGTTATGACAGTAAATAAACTGTTTATATAATTTCATTTGTTTATTTCACCCACCGTTCTTCTTACGAGAGTCACTTTCTCAGTTCGATGCTTAAAAGCAATGTCATTATTTAAGCGTTGACACAATTTCTAACTGTGATATAGATATGTAAGCTGTCACAGACAAAACTCAATGTCTTGTTTTATTGACACCTGTGTGTCTGCCTGCCTGTCTGCTAATGACAATATTCAATACACAACTGTGATCACTGACCACATGCAATTTGAACTTAACACCAATCAGGCTATACACCATAAACAAAGCATTGATTTATGGCCGAGTTCGGTCTCTGTCACATTATGTAATTACACAGACAGGCAGGTGTGATACTTGAACACATGACATATTATGATGTCTGTTGATTGCAAAATGTTATACACAAAAAATGAGCATGTATTTACAAAACCCAACATCTCTATATATACACACACAATGAGCCGTGAAGGCAGCATCTGCTAATGAACCAGCCGTTACACTTGAGTGCACACCCACCCGCTCTGACTGGGTTCGGTATCCGACTGCTTCGTTTCGAGGGAGGTAAACCCAAGTACAAAATATTGCACTTTTGATTTGCGATTATACGCTTATAATTTTGTTTATTTGTTTTTCATAATCAGCAATGCATATTATATGTCATGAAGAAGTGATAATTGTGTTTTAATTATGTTTGATTTTTTGGTTGCATGTGACCTTTATAATCAAATCAGATGAGTAATGTATTGACAGTTTACATGGATCAGTCATGTTGTTTCATGGAACACTTTCTGTCTTCTTGGAGGCATGCTAAGCAATTTATTAGTTACTAGTTTACAGTTCTGAAGTTAGACTATTTACTTTTCCCGATATCAAAGTTTTGGCAGTTCGGTTGTGCTTTACACAAGGTGTGTTGGCCACCGAACTTCATCCATCTCACCGTGCACTGAACGTGAGTCAGCACATGAAACACCGGGCAGCCGGCAAACTGAAAACAGGCTATTTCCATCTTTGCACCATCGCCGACAGTGCCTGGAAGCCGCGTATGCCGTACCGAGTGATCTCCATGTGTTTATCTGGTGTAACATTTTGCTAGATAAACCTAACAACACCGTCAGTCATAAGTGACACGAAAACCTACCTGACAATATCTTTTCTGTGTGGTGTGGGCGGTGTCTGTATTCGTCAGAGGCACATGGAAGGTGACGAGTGCTCGCAGAACACACTGTTTAAGCGGTTCCCCTTTCTGAACCTTGCTTCCATACTTGGCATACCTTCTGACTTCTCACCCATCTGCGTTCGTACATACTTGGGTCTATCCTCAAAACTCATTGGGATATCCAGTTCTAAGAGGAGCCAGCGCAACAATGAAATAGTACCAGTGAGATTAAAATCCGGGGAAACAGATAAGCAAACCGGACTTTGCCAGCATTTATGCATAAACATAGTAGGGGAAAAAGGCCCAAATGACAAGCTTTAATATGGCCATAGATAAGGTTACAACAAAATGAGGAAAACCACGACTTTCATAATCTATGGGATTCCGTGCCAAAACACGTAGAGCACTAATTAAGCTGTGTGTCAACCCTACCGCTTGTACCGTTAAGCTCCTATAAGCTGGTTCCTGGCTCCCTTTGCGCGTCGTCAACTTGCGCCAAAGCAAGGTATTTGCAATATGAGAGACGGGACCCAGTTTAGCCACGCCGCTTCGCGAGATAACCTACAGCTTTTTCCATGGATTTTTAGTTATTATAGCTAATATTTTGGAGATAAACATTCTGTGCTGGAAAATCAGAGGTATGGAACGAAATTATAATAGTTCTAAATTTGTTTTTAAACCGAACGCGTATCGTAAGGTTTTAAATACAAAATTGAGAGCTATATCCTATAGCTTCGTTATACCTCTGATTTTCCAACACAGTAAATGTGTTTATCTCCATTCTACCATAACCGCGTTAAGATTTTAAAATGATATATACTGTGTTGGAAAATCATAGGTATATAACGTGATTATATACCTCTGAATGGCTTTAATTATCCAGTATAAATTTACTGAAGTCATATATGGTATTATTCATTTTGGTAAATACGAAGTTAACTAGATTTAACCCACTAACATCTGTTTACCCGACGTCAGTGTGTTACATAATTCAGTGCAGTCAGTCAATAAATCATTTCTTTCTCAGTTTTGTACGATCGTGAGAAAATCCACTGTTAATGTATGTTGAACGTATTATCTTAAACTACTGAAAGCTTCTATAGTGGACGTCATAGCGGTTTCAATCCAATATTACGTTTCCTTTGTTTACTGTGGGGCCTTAGTGAGTGAGTTATAGTTTAACGTCACCTCGGCAATATTTCAGCCATATAGTGACGTGGGGCCTTAGAGTCTTGAGGCGACATTCTGACAAAATCGTATAAACCGCTAGTGTTTTACCAACCAATACGCTTCATTGGTTTACCCTCCTTAAATTTACACACTAGGAACTGGCACAAACGAAACAACTGTGCAGCGCACCGTCGGTCACGTGATAATCTGCTGACAACGTTCATAAAAATATTAAGACGCATTTGTGTTACTATCTTTAGTGATTTAAATGTCAGCTTGGCATGTACATTAGTGAAACCTATAATCAATACAAAAACATAATTATATGCAAAACTTTATTAAGCATCATTCCTAAGAACGTTCCAAGACGCAAGTTGACGATGCCTGCATGGACGCTTCGGGGGGTTGACTTGTGTCTAGATACTAGTTTATCACTACATTTCCAGAAACATTACAGAACACGCAGTGGGTAGTATGGAAATTAATAAACTCTATAAAGATCAGTTTTAAGTACGCAGTTTTCTCTCTAAAAATATCGGGGGCGGTAGGGTAGCCTGGGGATTAAATCGTTCGCTCGTCACGCCGAAGATACGGGTTCGATTCCCCACAAAGTGGTTTGCAGTCTCAGTTATGATTTAACATAAAGACAAAAATGAGGAATTGTGTAAAATAATATGACAATGCATCCTTTAATTTACTTGCAACCCTCGTTGATAAACTACAATGTGGTATAAAAGTAATTTAATCTCTTCAGCCGTGAAGACCCTTGAAAGAATAGGTCTTCAGCAGCGAGATTGCGGAGATTGCAGCAACACTCGACAGAGGCCGCCGCCATGGAGCTAGAATATTGCGGATTGCGTCCTTAATATAACAACATTACCTGTAAAGTGGCTAGCTCTGCGACACATACAAATATTTTACGTCCGCTTCCAAGGGTTCATGAAATGTGTTTCACGCATAAACTTGTTGACTTTTCTTTCGGTTTGGAAGTTGGATAAAAACCTCCCCCCCCCCTCCGACTGAGAATGCAAGCCAAAAGAACATGGGGATAGCTGAAGGAGGAGTGTTTGTCATGCATGTTTGTAAATGTAAACGTGAATGTGGGTGAGCGACCCTCCTTAGTGTGGATTAGGCAAAGAGTGACTGTAAGCAGGAACACAGGCCACTTCCACTGGGACAGAGTGGCCAACAAGCTGGATGGTAAATTCTTTTCTGAAAAAATGACACATTTCTACTTATTTAACCACTATTTTGGGATTGGTCACTCGTTTAGGAAGAGCGGCCCATGAAAGAATGTTACTTGTAGTGTTGGGGGTGAAGTCAAAACATAAAAAAATACGGTCGGGTTGGGGATTGGTGGCAGAGAATGTCAGCAAAACATGATGCACTTCTGAGACAAGTACCACTGGCCCAGCCCAGTAAATGATGTCTCTAACAATACTCTCAAGTTTAATGAAGACAAAATCTAACTTTATAGTAATAGTTTCGAAACATGTTCATTCTAGACTTGCACTCCCTACTCTTGTGATCGGAGAGATTGGAATAATGTACATTGAAAATGAATGTTGAAATGTAGTTTGCCGTTCAAAACATCTTCTTTCTATTTAAGTGCTATTTTGTAGAACTGGTACAAATTATGCAGAGTGAAGATGCCATCATTTTGTACACTGAATACATTTCTTTTATATTCATTTACAAACAATTGTTTGTTAATAATTTACAATAACTATTTACTTTTAAAGGCATAATTGCACACCCCTCCCTTAAAAATATAAAACTGCAACTCTGCCATACATTATAACCAACAATATTATTGCATCAATGGGAATCTAAAGTAGGTATTTATGCCCCAATATATCTAATTTTATTTCGAAAAGTGTGATTATGCCTTTAATATACCACTGTATTAGAGTTTTAACCTTGAATCCAGATGGAGTGAAGATGAATCAAGATTGCAACACATTAATAATGCCAATAAGGGGCAGACAACATCATCATGCCCTCATACACATATGTTAAACCTCTGTTAAACGTCTTTTAAACGTTTAGATGGGGTCTACCTTTAAATGTTTAAACAACGTCTAGGCTTCAACGTCTTTCATTTTAAACTATATTTAGACGTCTTTTCAACGTCTTGTGTAGACGTCATTTAGACGTTTATGTGCCTGCTGGGTTATTCACCCGTATTCAGATGCAAGAAACCTCGGAGTCATGTTTGACACGTACGAGTCACAAGTTGGTCTTGTATGCAAGCTGGCCTTGATTCTTGTCAATAATATCAGCGTGGTATGCCACCCCACCAACAAGACGACAGCAGCAACACTTGTAGAGGCATACTTAGTGCTACTGCAATTCTGTGTTATACGGACTGCCTTAACAATGTAAAGCATCAGAGGGTCCATAATGCATCCGGAACGGTTGTCAGTCGCACATAAAAGTATTACCACTTAGCATAAATACAAGTGTGTGTGTGCGTCTTCCCCCCGTGTGTGCACACATAAGGACAGATATATAAATAAATAAATAAAACCGTGAGTGTCGTAGTTTAACAGAAGTTGCATTACTGAAAAAAATGCCAACTCTGGCATGTCCAGATTAAAATTGGTGACCAGTAACCTCAACTTGTTTTATAGAAACCAACCAAATGGATTGGGTAGGCGATGGCTAGGCTGGATATACATAACCCTGTATGGTGATGGTTGGTCATTGCTCTGTATCACCTGTGTATCTCCTGTTCTGACTACAAGACTGGATTAGTGCAGAACATGAGACAACAAACTTTCACTGATTAACTCTACATGTTTCCAGTAAAGCTTTTGTTCAGTCAGTCTAACCATGTGTCAACCCTCAGGCAGTTCTAACATGGATCTCACAGCAGAGATAGCTCAGAAATAGTTGCACTATCACATGCTAAGTAATAACAGGAAATGGGACACATTTAGGGGCAAATTATGAAATAGCTGTTTGGGAGAAAAAAGAACACTGGCTACATAAATACATGCATGAACATTTTATTTGGTATCAACTGTTAACAACAAAAAATAAATTAAGTCTCTAAGATGTACAAGGATTGTGAAAAGGTAACCTGAAGGTATCCTCTGCAGAGCAGCTGTAAAGACGGTATGCATAAACCATGTTAATAATTCAATTTTATAAACAATAGATCAATCAGCTCTGCAGCTCACCATAATCTTCTTCAATATTTGCTGTATCATGTGGTACTTTTATATGAATAATATCAACATTAATAATGAGGCATTCCATTATACCTGTCACTGAATGTGGAATGTACATTGTGCATTCTATGGCATACATATTGTCAAATTCTAATACGACTTACAAGAGCAAATCTGGACATGAAATAGGGTACAGATCAGGATCTGACCTTTAACCGGAGAGTAACTGGTGTGTGTAACTCATAACAACTAAATAAACACTACCTGGACTAATAAAATCAATCAATGTGCTACAAGGTAACAGTGTTAGTCTAGAGTCTCCCCATCATGACAAATGTACAACAAAATGTGACTTTCACCCACTGTCTGGTTTAAGGGAGTTTCAGTTTTGTAGAAAATTACTGGTATACAAAGTTTGAAGTACCAAAGGTATTGGCTAGGAATACAAATCATCAATTACTCAAAACATATTACACCTTGAATTAAGGTTTGATTATCAACAGCCCTTTAAAAACATGAGCATATACTGGCCGTGGGTATAGCAGATTTCTACATGTACAAGCTAAATACAATGAGATGAACTAATGAATACATCATTTAGGCCATCCCAACAGAATGTAGACATTTCATTAAAGCTTGACATCATTTCAGCTTTGAACAGAAATGCAAAAGGTGGACAATTCTAGAAATGAACACAGAAGCATACTGTGCCATGTAACCTGCAAGTTCCATCATCTCTCATATTTTGGAGATTGCCTAACTACTGCAAAGTCAGATTTAGATTTGAGGGGTTATAGTAAGGTTAAAAAACAGCAGGTTAAACCTTATCCAAATGTGTACCCAAAATGTAACATATCTGATATTCCTCCCTCTGCATACTAATTGTGGAGCAAATTTCATGAAACATTAGAGAGTTCAAAGTACATCAGAATTGGGGAAGGCACAATGGCTATATTTCCAATAACACTGGGGTTACAGTGAAGCATGTTATTAGTAAGGAGTGGCGGTGTAAGTAGTGTAGTGATTATAGTGGGAGTTAAACACTGCACCTACTGGTTCAGATGACCCGACCATGGTGACCTCAGGTCAGTTTCCATGACTTGTCTGGAATTCAACCCGTATTCGTGAGACCCTCTAAAAGATCCTGGTAGTGCTCACAAGTGCCCCACTTGTATTCACGTCTCATGCACAGTGTTGATACAGTACAACCAGAAATTATTGAGAATTTAAAGGTTGTAAATTATTATTTTTCTTCGCTCATTACTCACGTATTAAATGTGAATATTAGCAGAACATAACTCCTGATTCAAAGACAGGTGAACAGTTAGTATTTTGTAAAGTCACCATGGGCAGCAATGCAGGCTTCAATGCGGCGGGGCATGCTACTGATCAAACAAGTTAGAAAGTCGTGGTCCATGCTGTCCCAATATCGGACCACCTCTTCTTTCATTTCAGCAATATTTGTCAGATTTTTCTTATTGACACTTTCCTTCATAAGTTTCCAAACATTTTCTATTGGATTTAGGCCAGGGCTATAGCTTGGCCAATCTAATAATGTCATATTTTGGGTCTGAAACCAGGCCTGTGAATGCTTTGAACGATGGCTTGGGTCGTTGTCCTGCTGGAAAATAAAAAAAATTCCATAGAACACGTGAGCAGATGGAAGTAAATGTGCCTCGAGAATATCTGTGTACCGCTCACTGTTTATATTCCCTTCAAATACACAGAGGGGCATTGCCCCTAACACAGATATGCCACCCTACACGTTAAATTTCGGACTGTACTTTTGGCGCTGATACAAAGGTTTTTCAGTTTGTTTGGTCCAGAATTTCAGTGTATTAGGAAACAGCCACACAGAACTTTCATCTGAGAAAATCACATTGTCGTAGTTAAAATTTCTATGCTGTAAGCACCAGTTCAACCTTCGCTCCTTTTGTTCAGGTTTCATGATCGGTGATGGAATTCCTCGACTTTTCTGCCAGCCCATTGCATGCAGATCAGTTCTAATTGTCTCCTTACAGACAGCCACAGTTCCTCTATCAATCACATCCAGCCTTAAGTTTTCTAAACTCCTTCGTTTGTTTTCAGAAACAAGAATACCAAGCCACCTCCTGTCACCGACAGTCAATTTTCTGGGCCTACCTGCGCCTCCCTGGTGCTCAATGCATGTCCATTTGCAATATTTTTCAAAACACGATAAACAGTGGACAAAGGGATGCCTGTTCTTCTTGAAATCACTTTAGCTGATCTGATGTCCTTGTTATAATACTCTAAAATCAACTTCCTCTTCTCTAAATCATCAATACTGAGGATCACTGAAAATGTCGTCTGCTAGCAAGTAAACAAAGGGGGATTACTCTCCACAAACTAATGAAAAAGGATTAACGGAGTTGTCTCTCTTGAATGAAACCAAGCACTTGATAGCTGGTCACGGTTGTTTACACTAGAAATCCAGTTAAACATATTCCTAAAATTCTCAATAATTTCTGGTCATACTATACAACAAATCAACACACAATCACAGGATCGATGTTTGCCTATTGTTAAGTTAAAAAATTGTCCAGTCGTGGAAGATGATATTGAACCAATATATACTGAACATCATTGAAAACGCACCAGTCTAAAATTGTCCATATTTTCATCAAGATGGATTTCAGCATGACAATGATCAATGAATATAACTAACTTGAAGTCGAGGGGCATGTCCAGTTGAAAAAATGCTTTAGAAACAAATTCCTGTCCACAGTATGACTCTTACTTCCAAAATGCATCAACATGCAGCCACGCCATGAAAAAAGTGCGAATTTCATTCTGAAATCATACTGACTGTGGCATTAAAAGCAGGTGTATGAGAACCGATTCTCATTGCTTCACTAACGATTGTGAAATGAGGACATAGATGCCGTGGTTAACACCTCACGAAAGAGAACGTCCTCTAGGCATGATTCAGTTTGGCACCAGCGGTAGGGATATTGCTCGACAACTTGGACTTGACCACTCCACCATCGTTAGGCTTCATAGACGACATCAGTAGACAGGCAGCACCCGTGACCTTCAAGGACCTTGGGGAACAACGTGTTATGACGCTCCATCAGGATCGCCATATTGACCTTGTCCATATCAGTGATTGAACACTGCCGACTGCCAGGACTGCTGCACAAGTTAAAGGTTGACGTGGGAGTCATCAGCGCTGACTCCATGCGACGCCTTCTACACGCTACAGGGCTCCATGCTCGACGTCCTTACGTTGGACCAATTCTGACTGACAGACACCATAATGAGCGTATACAAGGGCTAGCAGGCATTTTCAGTAAAGGTTACAACAATGGCATGGTGTGGTAGTCACTGACGAGTCACGTCTTCATCTACGTAATGCTGACGGCCGACTACGTGTTTGGTGTAGACGTGGTGAACGTTATGCTGATGAGTGTGTGGTTCAGACAGAACTTTGGGTGGTGAGAGTGTCATGGTCTGGGATGGAATAAATTACAATCACAGGACTGCCGTCATGTCTGTCAAGGGAGAGTTAATGCCCTTTATTACTGTGAGCAGATTCTTCAGAATCACATCGTATCTGTCTTCAATCACCACCAAGATGTCCATACTTTTCAACAGGACAACGCACGGGCACACACAAGACTTTCCATGCAGTATCTGGCCCAACAACACATCCAGGTTATTCATTGGCCAGCACAGTCGCTAGATGTATACCCCATGGAGCACTTGTGGGACGAAATTGGTCAAAGTCTTTCGCGGCGACAACAGATGCGAAACATCCGGGAACTTGAGGCTGCACTACTGCAGAGGTGGAATGCCTTCTTCAAGAACTCTATTCGGACGGATATTGACTCAATGAGGAGACGTTGAACTGCATGTGTCAATGCAAATGGCGGTCACACACGATATTGACTTTTGATTTGACCCCACTGTGTTTGATCCTTTCTGACTGTGGAACATTTCAATGAATGAGCGTCTTTTCTGTGTTGTTGTTTTTGTCAGTCGTCCATCTGTTATTATCCACTCAAAAAATATCAATTCCTTACACATGCTTTTAATAATCTGTAACTTTTATAAGTGGTGCGTTTTCAATGATGTTCAGTATATTTGTTTCACAGTGTTTCAATGTTGGTCGAATACTGGCAACATAACATAAGACCAACATTGTAACAAAATTGGGCCAATGTTTATGTGTGTATTATGCAGTGAACATATACCAAATACCAAAATATGGTCTCTGGCGGTTTTGCATGTTAAGGTGATATATATCATGAACTTAATGATACTTTTGTTTAGATGTATTACCCTAAAAAGTAAAATGGAATTGAGCTACTATGGACTTATATCAACACTGTTGGGTATGGGATGCATATTGCATAAAGATGCCTGTGTAGAAATATATCACTGTAAGATGAAGAATACAATTGAGCTGAGAGAGCGTAATGATGAACACATATCTTGATGATGCTGTTGTTTTCAATCATCACTTGTCCATCTCAGCTGAATAAGTCATACAAAGAACAATGTAATAGCAAAAGATTCAATAAATAGTTCATTATATTTTAAACAAAGACACTACATCAGTGGATACATATCAACACAGATGAAAAGTCATCCAGCAATGTAAAGATAAACATTCCTGACTGATAACAAAAGTTTCTATTCATCTATAATTGGACTCAGATTATTTATTATATTCATGCTAGGTAAATAATAGCAATATTTTATGTGTTATCTATTACACAAAGTTAAGTGATACATTATTACTATTCTCTTATTGCTGAAGTTTGCTCGAAACAGTCTTACAGTTGTATCAACTGATATCATTAAAAGATTTAATTCCAGTGATAATATAATCATTAATATCAATATACATTACAAATACATTAGACTCAGGATCAGCTAACGAGTACTTGTTGTGTGAAACAAATACTCTCTATACATACACTGATGCCTGTAACAGTTGTCAATTACATACAGTCTTGTCAATAAAAAGATTTACATAATCATGCAAAATAATCAAATATTTTACAACAAGCCAATTATAGTACACAACCAATCTGAATGTTATATATGTTAGAATTCATTTTATGTCAGAAACTAATGCCTCATATCTTACAAACATCATTAGCTGCAGGGATGGGCAATGTAAACAGACTACTACAAGGGAGGCAACTCTGTCTGCTGAACACCTGCAGCTGCAACACAGTAATGATGATGCCCAAACTACAGTAACATTATTTCAGAAAATGTTACTCTGTCAAAGGACTTATGGTAAAGTTTGTAGCAATCACACGCTTCAATATCTGCGACTATGCCTGTGGGGGACAATGAATCTTTGTCACCTTCAGCAATATTCAACAATATTATGGTGGGGACACCAGTTGTTCCATTGTGTGGAATCAAACCTGGGTCTTCAGCAAATAAAGAGAGAACGTCTTCATCACTAGGCTACCCAGTTACCTGCATGCAGCAAAGATTTCGCCAAAAGAATAGAGATATAAACCAATCAATCAGAAATTATATTGTATAATTTCTCAGAAGTCACCTTGGTAGCAATTCATTTCACTTCTTGGGATCACAAATACCGGTAGTCAGAGGGTTTCATTGAGCATGTCATGCTGGGGGACTCAGGTTGTCTGCCAGGTGGGTCCCTCCTAGTAGTATCACATATGTTTTCATTGGAGTGCTCAGTTAGCATCGACAATGTGTCTCAAAGTAGTTGAAGTCTATTAAAAACACAGCTCCAAATATTGTCAACTTGTCTTTCACTCCAATATCTTTGATATCTGCAACATAACAAGTTTTTATATTACATTAATTAATTAACAATTCTTAATGACCAGTTCCATAGATCTGACATTTGGCACACAGTGTAACATGTGTATACATGGTTCTGCTGTGTAAATGATTTACCTGTTCCAGCTATCAGTACTCCCATCACTCTTAATGGAAAAACAACCACATTTCTTTACATCATCCATCATAATTCCATTGATTTCCTGGGCGATAAAGTCAAGAAATGTTTTTGCTTGTTTGTCATTTGTGTAAGTGATTTGTTTTGGGGATTAAATGACTAAAGGTGAGTTATGTCTCTAAAAAATTAGGCGTGCCACAAGGGCACAGAGAACAGTTTTTATCCGTGCCATTTCAATATTTACCGTGCCATGGCACCCTAATATATGGAGTATTTCGAACCCTGCTCACATTATGCACTTCCTCCTGTTAACCATTGACAGGAACATATAAATCTGCAATGTGGGGTTGTCAGGACTAGCATATATAAAGATTTATAGTAAATGTTCCTGGAAAAGGGCAGCTGTGACTGGCATAGTTCATCAGAAGGGACTACCAGAAAACCGTCACCGAGGGTGGGTGATTTAAAAGAATGATGATGATTCGTCATGGTCCTCTAACATGAGGACAGGCCAATTTCTCCAACATGCATGTAATCCCTATCATGGTGGTGTGTGGTCCTGTATGTAGACCTCAGGTCACAATCAGTGGAAGTTAAGCAACATTGGGCGTGGAGAGTCCTTGGGTGGGTGACTGTGTTTGGCAGTTTGATTCATTAGAGTTTCTAGGACTTCAGTCCTGCTCAACAACGAAGCACACGTGATACATGTGGTCGCACCTTAGGCAAGTGAGTTTGGTCAAAATTGCCTCTGTCCACTCAGCAGTAAATTGGGTACCTGGTATGATACAATGGTAGCTTGAATTTTAACCATTATTAATGGAATATTATTATTATTATTAAGTCATTATCTAGTCACTAGTAGAGTTTAAATATCTTCATCAGCATGGTGATTACAAGTGAAGCAACTCTTACAGTGTGTGAAATAGTTTCCAAAAGTTGCTTTCCAGTCGGGCTAGCTATTCCTGAAAGTTACTAGCCTACAAAATAATTCACTAGCTCGAAATTTGAATGTAGACACAGGTTTCATCATTAAGCTGCTAATATGATGAACATCTTTATCATGCCATAATCTTGCATCATTTAAAAGTGTATTATGTATTAAAACCTGTAATGCATGGACTGAATAACATGAACAAGTGTAATTCATGTAATATGGTTAACATGTTTGTGAAGTTTCAGCTTCATCAGACAAATAATTTCTGAAGAACAGCCGTTTACAAATGATGGCTCATATCCTCAGATCTACTCAAGCAAACACTCTGAATTTCAAATCACTTACATGTTAGCGAGAAATCATTAGCAGCACCAATAACATCCCTGCATCCGGTCCAGTGCTTTGTCAGATCAGCCACCTTGTTCTCCTTTCCCTTCGAGCCTTCATACACCTGGTTTCACATACACAGCATAACTTAATACACCCTGTACAACACACCATCTTGTCAGATAAAAGTTCTGTTTCCACCCTTCAAGAACTCGGCTTGAATGATTAAGTAATATTTTGGCAAGACCAATGAATGTATCCATGGTCTAATCCAAATCACAGACCAAATCGACATTTGGTTCATAAACAAAATGGCTGCTGGTTTCAGTTGATCACTGGATTTGTTAAGCATCTGTATCATCAACTGGGCATCTACAGTTTTCTTCCAAATCATTTTCTGTTATTACTCAAGGTGCTTAGCTGATTTGACCCCACTTTGAGAATTAAGATCTTGACTATTAATAAGAAAGTCTTGACTGAGTGTTGCCATGTTGTTTGAAGCACTTACTGGCAATGTGAGGGGTGGTATCTGGCTGGTCAATAGAAGGGACATATAACGGATATAACTTGTAATGGTTCACTCCCAAAAGACAGACCTCCCATAAGACAGACTCAATGAGTACAATGATTAGATGAGCCATGCTGTCCACCCCTATTTAATTAATGAGCTGTCCTAAGAAGAGCAGAGTATGTCCCATCCCAGAAAGTTGCCCCCAGGTACTTCTAGAGTACATGTGATGTAAAATAATATGGTGCTTGGTCTCATAGTGAGTGAGTGAGTTAATATTTAGCGTCACATCAGCAATATTTCAGAGAACAAGTTAATTTATATCAATATTAAAATCAATAAATTTAGAACATAAAAATCTGTCATCGAAGGACAGTAAAAATACTAGAACATCATAAATATAAATTTAAAACTAGTACGCTATCATAAAATTAAATCAGTATAGACAGTACAAAATAAAAACGGGCTATAGATCACCAACAACTGAAGGTAGATCACCATACTAGGGTCCATGGGGACTTACAGTACTTTTGCTACCTGCATGGACCCTACCTGGATTTACACCATCCCTTCAGCTGCTGGCAATTATGCTGAGTTTTAGCCATTATTAAAAATAACAAATATGCTACGATTAAAAGTTTGGTAGAGCTAAATTGACTTTGATGGTTTGGGACTTACAGCTTGGTCTCATATGTTTGATAGGTACATGTATATAAATTATTGTTTTTGATAATATTCACAAGTAAATATGATCTGGCAAATATATGTTGATGTACATATATGTTGATGCAATATGTCTTAATTTAAAAAAACAACATAATTCATTACATGAATTGATAAAACTATAGTTAATATGGTGATGATGATTTAGGGTTTTACGTCGGCTTCTGACTGTAGCCAATGTCGCCAACGGGGTAGGTGGGAGCCAGATTAATAATTAATATGATTATAATAGGGGATAAACCACCGTACCCCAAAAATATAACAGATGGGGCGTTAACCTATGTGGAATTTGAATGAAAAACGTTTAAGAAACAAGAGAGGAAAATAAATAAAAAGCCGAGATTATGAAGGGAAAAGAGGGAAAAAAACCAGTGGTGATTGTTAATGATTGAGAGATAGATAGTAATAGTAAGTGTAAATGGGGGCCATGCATGGGGGTGGTGGGGTAGATTAATAAAGAGGTATAGCATAGTGGGACATGTAAATGAGTGCAGGTAAGCTGCATAGTTTAAATAAGAGGGCTTATAAAGAAAGAAAAAGGGGTTAAGTTGGCGAGGTGGGGGTAAGTTAATACCTAATGTTGTCTGTTTTTATCTGGGCACATACCATTATTATCAAGGGTACAGCTTTATGCAACCAACCATAAAATGTGTTGTTTTAAGCGGTCTGTCTTTTGGGAGGTCTGTCTTATGGGAAGATACCCTTGTAATAGCCACTGGTAGCACTATGACTCCAGCCTTGGGGGAAACTGGACATTTACAGACCCTTAAGTGGCTTGTCTTTGGAAAAGGGCTTGTAATTTCAATGTCATTTACCATGAGCTTCATTGAATTAATAAGTAAATTTTATCGCATTTTTTTACTGATACTGAATGAGATATCAGCACAACACTGATACAGAATGAGATATCAGCACAACACTGATACAGAATGAGATATCAGCACAACACTGACATGGAATGTGACAGCACTAATACACTGACACAACAAATCACAACACTCACACGAAATGTGACATCACAACAAGCACGACAGTGGAAGCAGTCCCCGACTATTGTGAAGAGCAAGTCTTCTTTCAGGTTGTAAACATGGTAGACTGGAGCCCCACAGCTCCATCTGAAATAACAATCAATATCTTAGCATTAGAACTCTAACATCAGCATACTTGACACCAGCACATTGGACATTATGAAACTGCACAGCAGAAAACTGGACATAAAAAAACTGGACAACAGAATACTGGACATCAACAAACTGGACAACAGAATACTGGACATCAACAAACTGGACAACAGAATGCTGGATATAAGCATACTGGACATCAACAAACTGGACAACAGAATACTGGATATAAGCATACTGGACATCAACAAACTGGACAACAGAATACTGGACATCAACAAACTGGACAACAGAATACTGGATATAAGCATACTGGACATCAACATACTAGACAATAGCATACTGGACAACAGTGAGTGAGTGAGTTAAGTTTTATGCCACTTTTAGCAATATTCCAACAATATCACATCCGGGGACACCAGAAATGGGCTTCACACAGTGTGCCCATGTGGGGAATCGAACCCGGTTCTTCGGCGTGACGAGCCAAAGCTTTAACCACTAGGCTAACCCATCGCCCCTCAGCATACTGGAGCGTCAGACAAGATGCCTGCACATGGCTCTAGCTGCAAGGATTCCTGTATTTCTCTGCTACTCACACTTCTCTGACTGTGCCTATCAGTGTCCCTGGAGGAGAGTGGATTGACATCTCCTGCAGATGACAACACATCCAACAACAACGTGTTGAGCAGCGTAATGGTCGTTGGAGAGAGATCACATCTTGAGATTCATTGTCATTGATTTTCATCACAAGTCCACGAGAAGAACCCAAAACCTTACGCGCCAGACACACACCAACTGTAACAGAAGCACTGTACATATTACCTGAGGAAATATCTCCTGCCAACACAACCATGACAACATGCAGTATTAACCTTGCTGTATGTTGGTACTGACCAGCCTGTGCACCTGACACTACCTAGCTAGAGACAGTGTCTTACCTTCATACCCATACAATATCTGTGTTCCATCAGCATCACTGATCTGGTATCTGTTGCTCCTCTCCCACCCCAGAAGCACTGTAACAAGGAATAGGACATATAAAGGACACACCTTAACCTTGAGACAAAATCAGGAACCTGACCGATGGTGATGTCCTACATTTGCAATCTGTCTTTCTAGTTGCAAACAAGAAAATATTCAGTGAATATACGTTTAAGTTCAAGATGTTCAACTTTTCATTTGGACAGATTTTCCACATTTCTTTTGTTATCCCAAAATGTGTTCAACTTTGCAAAATTTAATGTACACCACCACAGATAATTTTGACACATCTATTTCAGACTTGGCGTCTGTTTAGTGTTTTCGAATTCGATATTTTCCCGTTCTCGATAATCGATATCTCTTAAAAAATATGCAAATAGTAGAAGGGTGGATGCATAATACCCTTGAAACATCGGCTGATCTACATCCATCATTAATCATATTGATAATGACCTGTTTTGTGTCATTACTCATTTCCTTTCCGTGTACGGACATGCTTGTTTTTGTTTGTGTCTCACAGCGAAGCAGACGACAAACCAACTTCCGGAATTGCGTAAAAGTGGATGACGGGAAGTGATATCAACTTTAAAAGACGGCAAAAACCCATGGCGCTAACAAGAGACGCGAAGCGACGCAAAGTTAAAGATTTTACTCATAGGCGCTTGACTCTGATATGTTTATAAGTATGACCTATATATAAGATATAAGATCTTATATATATAGGTCATACTATAAACATATCAGAGTCAAGCGCCTATGCCGGTAACCTGTATTCTACCCATCATCGATAGCCCACTGATATAAAGTTAACGATTTTCATCACCATGAATATGTCGATAGCCAGCATTAATTTTCGTATCAATACCTTCTAGTACATCTAAATACTGATGAACCCTCAGCACGTTCGTTTTCGCCAAATCCTTCAATCCCTGGGGTTGATAATCCCCTGTGTCCGTGTCATCCGTGAGCGATGTCTTCTCACCAGCCTGAGGCTGGACGGTAACCACCTGTTCTTCTGCTGACATCATTGTCTACCTCACCATACCCATTTTGTGCGACTTGAGTGCTTCTACTGGAAACCTAATAGAGTTTGTGGTAAATACAAGTAATCAAAGGGGCATAACCCTCTCTTATTTCTCTGTGGAATACCGTTTAAAATATGTCCTGAAATGAGAGTTCTCGTTGACGGCGGGAGCTGGGACCTTCAAACTCCATTTTACTGTTTTCGTCTTAGTGAGTGAGTGAGTTTGGTTTTACGCCGCACTCAGCAATATTCCAGCTGAATGGCGGCGGTCTGTAAATAATCGAGTCTGGACCATACAATCCAGTGATCAACAGCATGATCATCGTACTGCGCATTTGGGATACGATGACATGTGTCAACCAAGTCAGCGAGCCTGACCACCCGATCCCGTTAGTCGCCTCTTACGACAAGCATAGTTGCCTTTTGTGGCAAGCATGGGTTGCTGAAGACCTATTCTACCCCGGATCTTCTCGGGCCGTTTTCGTTTTACATACAGATCTACCAGATATTGTGCCTGACATTGTACAAAAAATAATAATGTGCCCTTAAAAAAAATGAGCACATAGTCGTTTTAGTTGGGAACATTAACTAAACATTAGTTTCTAAATCCCAACTGCTCAATCGCTGCTCCTTTTTGTCTTATTTTTCAGTTCGTGGTTGGACACATTCTACCACGTCCCCTCGATGGCTTCGATGGTCATGATGTCTGTCAGCGGATTGTCTGGTCCAGCCGTTATTATTTACAGACTGTCGTCATAAAACATAGACCAAACAAACTGCTGTTAGATTTATCGCCCTTGATTACAGCTCCGAGTAGGCGATAACACGAGGCGATTTTAAGGAGTACTTAAGATATCTGAATTATACTGTATCATACAGTATGTCCCATCAACACATAATTAAAAATTTATGTTATATTATATTTCCATGTTTCCCTTTTTAATCTAAAAAGTAAATATTGCGCGATGCGGAATATTTTATGCGACTTTAGTATCGTTTCTGTCAAATAACAATGTAGAATAGATTTGGTAGAATAAACATTCACAGTTAAATTCTTTGGAAAACCTTTCACAACTATGCATGTAAAGAGTCATGCCCTACATGTTTCACTCAACTGACTCAGGTTACAAGCATATATGTGCTGTTAGATTGATGCTGGAATCATCTGCGTTGTTGAGCTCTGGTCTGTAGATGGCATCAAAGTTGTACTCTGACAAGACAGCTAGCCATCACTAACCTGTAAGCATGCAACTTTTCAGAATTGAGCACATAGATCAGTATAAACATGGAATGTATTGCCATACAGATAATCCTTGAACGTTTCAGCCACTGGCCATTTCAGAGCTAGAAATTCTAGATGGTGTGCTGTTCAATCCACGGCTTCCATGGCTGATGACTTTCTTCAACCCATTCTGTTCCTGGTACAAGACAGTGTGTACTTCAAATGGCTTGGTACACGTGTAACCCGCATACCCAAGAACTTCTGGTGTTGACAAGTATGTCCTGATTGTCTTCTCACTCAAGAACGCCCTATCTTGTTTTGGTCCCTATAGCTAAAGCCATGGCTTGTCTGGTTTGTTGACTGGATTGGTTTTTCCTAGTATCTTGGTCTCTGTAGATTGCAACAAAGCAGATAGAGGCTTGAAAATCGGGGCAAGCTCCTTGACGAATTTTCTATAGTTACCCGCAAATCAAGAAACCTGGAACTTTATCTTGGTTCACAGGGGTAGGCCATTCCTTGATCCTCTGTATCCTGTCAGGATCTGTGTCAATGTCATCTTCAGACATGTAGCCAAGAAACTTGACCTTCCTCTTAAAGGAAGAACATTTGTCATCACCTTGGCTTGATTTCCGCTTTTCTGGATCGTTCAAGTACTTGGTCAAGGCGTTCTTAAGGTTCATCATATGACTTGGAAAATGTGATGATATCATCTATATAAATGGTACAGATCAGGTGTAGATTTTAGAAGCATTCATCGCTCGTTGATATGTTACAGGATGTTGCAGAGACCAAACGGCATGCAGTTATTCTCCGAGACATGTCCAGTGTACTGAAGAATCTTGATCCTGCAAGTGCGTCGAACATCTCATCTATTCATAGCAGAGAGTAGGAGTATTTGACGATCAATTGTCAGATGTCCGCCATTCGTTTCCCTTTCTTTCTCCTGACTAAGACCACTTTAAATGACCATGGGGAGTATGACCGACTGATAACACTACTTACCAGCAGTTGTTGTAGGTGTTCCTTGACCTCTTAATACACTGATGGTACAGTCCTGTGCCGTCCTTGAAAGGTCAATCCTCAAGGCCAGTCAGGTTCCTAAAATTGAGGACATGCCCTAATTCTGTCTCACCATTTGAAAATACATCCAGGTACTGTGAGATGACATGCTTGCCAATCGTCAACCCCTCCGGTGCCACAATAGCTTCCTTGAAGTTCATGAGGTTGATAACACCCTCTCCCTCGCCCTTCATGTCACCCGAGAAAGATGGAACTTTTGCTGCCTGTGCTAACATAAAAGGTGCTTGAGTGACTGTAAAGGAAGATGTTTTGTGCGTTTGACTGAGTACCCAGGTTAGAAGTCAGGATGGATTAACCATCCTCAACCTTGGCCTTGGTCTAAGTATATTCTTGTATCCACAGTACCAAGTCCTCAGCCTTATCAACAGTAGGCCAGGTACCAAGAGCCTGAAATGAGGACATAAGTTTCTCAAAGGCTTCAGGTACCTTTCAGCAAGTTTAAGCAGCATACTGGAAGACACCTGAAAGAAACCATTCAAATCTCTACAATCACATGAATGTGTATAAATTATAAAATGATCAAAGAGACTAACGTTTAGAGGTTTATGTAAATGTCCAGAATGATTGATTTATTCCAAATGTGATTCACACAATGTCCACAAGTACATTTTGACCAGCTGACAGTAATATCAAATGTGACACAAACTTTGGTTAAACTAAAACCTTTAAACTGGAGTCAGTAAGCTGACAAAGATAATTGGGCATGCTATTGTGTGATAGAGCACAACGTCATTGTGACTTTGGCATACCCATACTCTAAGCTGAAATAGAGATTTAGGTGAAGTGGGAAGTAAATAATATTTAAACCAAACTTACGTGAATATTCAATTTAGTTAAAGCTAAAGAAATAAACTTCTAAAAGATAAACAAACATTTGATCTTGTCACAGGTCTATCACAGTTCATATGTATGCTTGGGTAAACCACGGGTATGGAGGCATCCTACACAAGTGTGGCCTCACAGTTAACGTAAATAACATTGCGAAGTATACTAGTTGGATTATCTATACTAGGCACATAAAGAAACTGTGCATACAAAAATTTAAAATCTAAATTTATCAAACCTGTGTAGACACATAAGGATTTAAACTCAGAGATTAGTGACATGTATCCAACATGCATGCACGTGCCACGTTCCGTGACGTTAGTGGGTTCGTCCTTGAGACGTGCAATACGTTGTTGCAAGTGCATTCCGGGAAAGAGAAACAGAGCAAATGAATGCCACACAATACTGTCACTTTGGAAAGCTCAACCGTATCCACCCCAACACAGTTCGACAACGTTTACGTCATCACGGGATCAGACCACGACGTCCCGCCATACGGCCTATCCTGACACAACGTCATCGACAAGCTCGCCGAATGTGATGCCGAAATCATGTCCGCAGACCCTTGTTCTGGTGGAGAAATGTTGTTTTTACAGATGAGTCCAGGTTTAACATTTCCCATAGTGATTGACATCAACGTGCCTATAGACGCGTGGGAGAACGTTATGCACAGGCCTGTGTCTTGGAGTGAAATCGCTTTGGTGGTGATTCCGTGATGATTTGGGGTGGAATAACAGCACGCCAAAGAACTCCTTTGGTGTTTGTTCAGGGCAACTTAGCTGGTGTGGGATACAGGGATCAGATTCTTCGACCTGTGGCAATTCCTTTTCTGCAACGTCATGGCCCTGGGTTAACATTCCAACAGGACAATGCCCGCCCTCATACGGCAAGGGTTGCTATGGATTTCTTGCAACACCACAACGTTGACTTACTGCCTTGGCCTGCAAATTCACTGGATCTCTCCCCGATAGAGCATGTTTGGGACGAGATGGATCGACGTCTACGCCGTCTTCCTCATCCGCCAGATAACGTCCTTGACCTTGCAACAGAACTTGAGAGAATCTGGCGTGACATCCCACAAGCCTTCCTTGCACGTTTGATAGGCTCTATGCGTCGTCGATGCACTGCTGTTCACAATGCCGATGGTGGACATACCCGTTATTGAGCTTGTGACATGGTCGTTTGACCCCTGTCCCGCTTGTGGACTCGTGACGTCATTGTGATTGACTTTTCAATTGAAATTCTCCCGACTTGTTATGGTCTCATGATCCCTCCATTAAAGTTTATATGTACCTTTGACATTGTTATCGTACTTATCAACTGGGGTAATATTTTGACAATGCACAGTTTCTTTATGTGGCTAGTATATGTGCAAAAACGTCTGTCATTCTAATATCTAACGTAATATTTACAGTATAGTTTCATAAAAAAAATGTATGTATGTTGGCGTGTTGGCAATCTGTCTCCTACTGTTAGGCTGACAGTATGATGTGTATGTGTATGTGTGCGTGTGCTTGTGCCTGTCTGACTGTCCCCCCTGACTGTCTGTCGGAGTCGCTGACTTCCATTTCACAGAACCCTCAAAGGGGAAACCAAACAAAACTTAGATCATCCACGACACTGTACACTCAGCAAACTCCCGCGAACTCATCCTTGTATAACTGAAGAAGTTTTCAGACCAACCGATAACAAAGTCAATAAGATAGCAAAAAGATATTCGTACAACTACCGGCTGTAGCTATGTAACGGATATCAAGCTTTGGTTGATGAAAATTTAAAATGTGTTCAACATCATCAAGAACGCCACCGCCAAATCCAATTTTAGACTACGTCCCTGCGTCCCAACAGGTGAAATGATCTTCGACAGAGGCCGGCAGAAACAGCATATCCGACTCGGAGCTTGAAGCTATTGAGCGCCTCCTGTTGGCCACCTGACCTGACAGTCACCATTCAGTTTGACTGC